TACATACCCAGGCAATCAGCCACTTATCCTTGTTGAAGAATATGTTACGCAGTTTACCTATACACCAAAATATCAAGGTACTCCTAAATCAAGTTATAATTTCTTGCATTCTTCTATAGCGAACACTCAGAAAATTATTATTAAACCCACTCAATATGCTGAATATAAATCAGAACAGCCTAGTTCATATTACTATCTGAATGAAGGTGATATTACTTCTGAATTTACTGGATACACTAGTAAGCTATTTGCAACTGTTACAGCACCTCCACCAACTGATGATAAAACCGATAAAACGAGTTCAACTGGCTCTACTGGCTCTACAGGGTCTACAGGTACTTCAGGAAGCTCAAGTTCATCCAGTTCTCCATCAGAGAGTAAAGGAGGAAGTGGCAGCTTACCTATAATTATTGGTGTCATAGTTGCTGTAATTGTGATAGGAATTGTCATTGGAGTTTGTGTATACTTCTTTGTCATTAAAAAGAAATCAGACTCTAACCATCCAGCCGAAGCAGTTTAAATACGAATAAAAAATTAAATTTATTCATTTATAAAATTTCTACAAAAATTGTTTATTACAGCAATTTGAGCCTTTGTTCCTCATTTGGGATACAATTCATTAACATGTACCCCAAAATCGAGCCCAAAATCAGATACACATAAAATTAATTATGTATATCATGTAACGACTTTATACTTACAATACATATTAGGCCATCATGTATGATAGATATTAATACACTGACAAACTTTTCACAATATATATACTTACACCAACCTATTAATTCATGTGTCAAAACACAATAAACTCAAATAAACTATATCTTTCTCAATTTCAATATTTTTTAATCAATCTATAAGTTGATTAATCAAAACGTTCATAATATAGGGTGTCCAAAGGTGTGTTTAGCACAAACCTGAATACTGCGAATAGAAATAAACAAGTTACATATATATAAAGTTTATTTAAATATAATCACCATTGGATTCAATCACGCGTTCGCAGCGATCGATCCAGGCTTGAAAGACACGCTTTAAATCATCATGAGAAAATTGCTCAAATTGCTCTCTTACAAAATTTTCAAGATCATCTGGACTCGCGAATTCGCGTCCTTCAGCTCTCTTTTTTAGCGTGCCGAATAAATAAAAGTCAGAGGGTGCAATATCAGGTGAATAAATTGGGTTTGGAACAACTTTGACATTGTTTTCCACCAAGTAATCATTACCTTATGACTTTTGTGAACTCTTGAATTATCAAAATGAATTGCAAACTTTTGTTTTTGTTGTTTGGATTTCTCAAACTCATCAGAATTGATAATTTGAGTAAGAACATTGTCAATTAGATACTGAGCATTCATCGTATTAGGTTTTTGAAGAATATCAATTGCGATGATGTCATTCACGCCCCAAAAAACCGACAACATCATCATTGGTGTGTCAATTTTTTTCTTCGGGAATGTTTGCGGATTTTCATCCTTCGGGATCCACATGATTTTGGCTTCTGTTGCATATTGAAACCAAGACTCGTCCCCTGTTACTAAAAAGCGAAACTTCTTGGATTGATACGCACCCAATATAGAGAGGAGCTCTTTCGAAGATTGGACTCTAGATTTTTTTTGAACTGAATTAAGGTTGTGCGGAACCCAACGTGTATACGCTAGTTTGTAGTTCAAATAATTGTGCAGATAATAACTGACTGTTGTACGTGGTATCTTTGTCATCTCCTCTATCTTTCTGAGTGATGCTCTTGGGTCTTCATCTAGTGCTTGAAGAATTGCTTTGATTTTTCTTTGATCCGGCGATTTTTTGTCAATTTTTATGATGGGCGCCTTTTTGTTCATGAAGTGATACATCCTAACATGATACGTTACAGTGGAATAGCTAGGAGCATCCATACCGAAGCATTTTACCAATGTCTCGTAGATTTTTTTACAGTCTTTGCATTTTTTTGCAAGAGCGAGGATGTTTTCTTTATGATTCATTAAAAAAATGAAAAAAATCCCGCCAAAATTTCCCGCGAAACCGCCTCTTGTCTCAAAATTCATTTTATATCCCGGCATGGCGCCAAAATACAACATACTCATCATATACATATATTCATATTTTTTATTATATATTTATAATCAGCATATATCTCCTTTAATAGTCTCATATAGAGCGCTGTGCTAAACGCACCTTTGGACACCCTATATTATGCCTAATTTTCAAAATTTTCGCTTGCTTTCTCAAAATCAGAAATTCTTAAAAATTTTCTAATTTTTATAGTATTGCTGTCTGGGCGATATTTGAAGTTTCGTCTATTCAAGTTGAAGAAGAGATGATAGACCAAAATTTTCATACTTTCTTCATATTTGAAATAATGTTTTAACAAGAAACTCAGTTGAGCAACAAAATCAGCAATAAGATGTTCATTGTTGAAGGGAACATTCAGAGACTCTCTTAAGTAGCTTTTGGAGTCTTTGTTCCTCATCTGTGGTACAATGTATTAACAAGTACTTCAGATGAGGAACTGAGTCAGCAATCGGAATCTGATTGATTGCCATAGCCTAAAATGATTACTCAAGTTATTTTTTATTGATCATATTTTTTTCCCTTGAAATAGAAACAAATCAAGTAATCTATATAATTCTAATTCTAATTTTTTTTTCGAAAACCCCCTTGCCGATTTCTGTGACCCCAAGCATATAAGTTTCTCAATAGATATGTAATACATATCCATCAACAGATCTGGAAAATCATCATTGAAAGTTTGTGAAGATTGCATCTATGATTTACACACATTAATTATGTATTTTTTGATAGTGTATGAAATTTGGTATTATTTCTAATAGAAATGTATGCTTAATGAAACATTCAGTCAATGAAAAAAAAATGCTATTCAAGAGCCAAAATTGAATAGTCGTAAATAAAGGCCATGCCTGTAAATTTTTGATTTTGGTTATTTTGATATCAGTGAGAAACTGTTCAAAAATGAAATAAAATTATTATATAAATCAGGTTTCAACAAATTCAAGCTAAAATAATCGTTGTTCCAAAGTTTTATTTCATTTCATATGAAAGGTTAGTTTCTTACAATAACCGATGCATTATTTGATAAAAAATGAATGTCAAGTGTGATAGTAATGCATCGAGTATTATTGATGGTGACGAGAATGAAGAATTTCAATGATCTTTAAGGTTGTTGTTATGTGGTTTATTCTTAATACACCAAGGGATGAAACGCATGCATTCCTGGAAGAAAGAAAGATCATTTTTTAATTCTGTTCCAGAAGTGTAAGAAAGTTGTAGAATGGGAGTTATTGCTGCAACAATAACCTCGTCTATGAATCTGTTTTGAACATCTCCGTATTCTGGAGGTAATGAACCTGTTTTTTCGATATTTTGAATCATAGAAACAACTTCTGGTATCATTAAGTGATAGTCCCCTTCTCGTTCGACGCATTGTGTGAAGATTATTGTAGAAGTTTCAAAATCTTCAGAGAATTTCAGCGTCATAATTCTTTCTAAAAAAATTCAAAAATAATTTTCCATGGATCAAATATCAGAAATTGTTCATTTTGGAGAAATGGCTATAGCCAGAGGTTTTTTAGCCATCCGGAATCCTTACTTACTATAAATCAACAGAGAAAATACTTCGAAAACAAAGATATCGAACAAAATTGTGCCCTTTATGCTTGAGATATGAAGCACAGTAATAATGTGTATGGATTTGTTGAATAAATACTATTTGATATAAAGGTAATTCTTGAATAAATTCTATAATGATATGAAATTTTGTTATGAAAATCAAATGATTAAAATTGCTCATGAAGAGCAAAAATCGATGTTAAGAAAGTAAATTGTTTTTTGATTTTCATAACAAAATTTCATATCATTGGATTTCATGTTTTTTTTTTTTAATCTAAAATAAATATGATAGGATCTAAAGTACTAATATACATATATGTTGAACCCAATAATTGCTCATAAAATTTTGTTGGAGAAATTTATTAAATTGCATGAAATACAACCATGCATCAGCTTCACATCAGACTGATTCCATATATCCCAAATTCTTATCTAGTTAAAAAAAATTCAATAAACTCCTTTCCATTCGTAAAGTTTCCTATTCAAATTTTTGATAAAGGTCCACTCAATAGTGAGGCAGGAAAACGATAGGGCGACTTTAGATAGGGGTAAAAAGGGTCATTCAAATTTTCAGAACTTTTTTGAAAATATAATTAAAGAAAAACTCTCTATCTTTGCCTTAAATGGGCATGGATCAAATCGGAAAGAATTTTCAAAATTATGACTTTTAAAAAACGGTTGGTCTGACTTTTTTTGACTAATACTCAGAAGAGCCATGATAAACGAAAATGAAAAAAAAATCATTACAAATTAAGAATAAAATCATCATTCAAAATATAAGTCAGAAAACTGACCATCAATGGAGCAACCATTCAAAAAAATTTGAAGACTTAACTTCATTTTTAATTAATGCTGACCTTCTTCAGCGTGTTTTGCAGCTCCAAACTGGCATCAGATAAGTTGATAAACATGATGAATACGGAAACGGGAACAACGATATCTCCGGAACCTTTCGCGAAGCTTGGTTGCCCAGAAGAATATGGAACATATATAATTTCAAAAAATCAGATTGGTTCTATAACTATCGAATCTTCTAAAGTATGTCACTATATTATCAAAGGATCTCAAGCAACTATTACAATTAAAGGTCCAATAGGTATTTCAGTTAGAACAAATCAAGTATCAATTAATGATGAATCAGATATTACATACCCAGGCAATCAGCCACTTATCCTTGTTGAAGAATATGTTACGCAGTTTACCTATACACCAAAATATCAAGGTACTCCTAAATCAAGTTATAATTTCTTGCATTCTTCTATAGCGAACACTCAGAAAATTATTATTAAACCCACTCAATATGCTGAATATAAATCAGAACAGCCTAGTTCATATTACTATCTGAATGAAGGTGATATTACTTCTGAATTTACTGGATACACTAGTAAGCTATTTGCAACTGTTACAGCACCTCCACCAACTGATGATAAAACCGATAAAACGAGTTCAACTGGCTCTACTGGCTCTACAGGGTCTACAGGTACTTCAGGAAGCTCAAGTTCATCCAGTTCTCCATCAGAGAGTAAAGGAGGAAGTGGCAGCTTACCTATAATTATTGGTGTCATAGTTGCTGTAATTGTGATAGGAATTGTCATTGGAGTTTGTGTATACTTCTTTGTCATTAAAAAGAAATCAGACTCTAACCATCCAGCCGAAGCAGTTTAAATACGAATAAAAAATTAAATTTATTCATTTATAAAATTTCTACAAAAATTGTTTATTACAGCAATTTGAGCCTTTGTTCCTCATTTGGGATACAATTCATTAACATGTACCCCAAAATCGAGCCCAAAATCAGATACACATAAAATTAATTATGTATATCATGTAACGACTTTATACTTACAATACATATTAGGCCATCATGTATGATAGATATTAATACACTGACAAACTTTTCACAATATATATACTTACACCAACCTATTAATTCATGTGTCAAAACACAATAAACTCAAATAAACTATATCTTTCTCAATTTCAATATTTTTTAATCAATCTATAAGTTGATTAATCAAAACGTTCATAATATTATGCCTAATTTTCAAAATTTTCGCTTGCTTTCTCAAAATCAGAAATTCTTAAAAATTTTCTAATTTTTATAGTATTGCTGTCTGGGCGATATTTGAAGTTTCGTCTATTCAAGTTGAAGAAGAGATGATAGACCAAAATTTTCATACTTTCTTCATATTTGAAATAATGTTTTAACAAGAAACTCAGTTGAGCAACAAAATCAGCAATAAGATGTTCATTGTTGAAGGGAACATTCAGAGACTCTCTTAAGTAGCTTTTGGAGTCTTTGTTCCTCATCTGTGGTACAATGTATTAACAAGTACTTCAGATGAGGAACTGAGTCAGCAATCGGAATCTGATTGATTGCCATAGCCTAAAATGATTACTCAAGTTATTTTTTATTGATCATATTTTTTCCCTTGAAATAGAAACAAATCAAGTAATCTATATAATTCTAATTCTAATTTTTTTTTCGAAAACCCCCTTGCCGATTTCTGTGACCCCAAGCATATAAGTTTCTCAATAGATATGTAATACATATCCATCAACAGATCTGGAAAATCATCATTGAAAGTTTGTGAAGATTGCATCTATGATTTACACACATTAATTATGTATTTTTTGATAGTGTATGAAATTTGGTATTATTTCTAATAGAAATGTATGCTTAATGAAACATTCAGTCAATGAAAAAAAAATGCTATTCAAGAGCCAAAATTGAATAGTCGTAAATAAAGGCCATGCCTGTAAATTTTTGATTTTGGTTATTTTGATATCAGTGAGAAACTGTTCAAAAATGAAATAAAATTATTATATAAATCAGGTTTCAACAAATTCAAGCTAAAATAATCGTTGTTCCAAAGTTTTATTTCATTTCATATGAAAGGTTAGTTTCTTACAATAACCGATGCATTATTTGATAAAAAATGAATGTCAAGTGTGATAGTAATGCATCGAGTATTATTGATGGTGACGAGAATGAAGAATTTCAATGATCTTTAAGGTTGTTGTTATGTGGTTATTCTTAATACACCAAGGGATGAAACGCATGCATTCCTGGAAGAAAGAAAGATCATTTTTTAATTCTGTTCCAGAAGTGTAAGAAAGTTGTAGAATGGGAGTTATTGCTGCAACAATAACCTCGTCTATGAATCTGTTTTGAACATCTCCGTATTCTGGAGGTAATGAACCTGTTTTTTCGATATTTTGAATCATAGAAACAACTTCTGGTATCATTAAGTGATAGTCCCCTTCTCGTTCGACGCATTGTGTGAAGATTATTGTAGAAGTTTCAAAATCTTCAGAGAATTTCAGCGTCATAATTCTTTCTAAAAAAATTCAAAAATAATTTTCCATGGATCAAATATCAGAAATTGTTCATTTTGGAGAAATGGCTATAGCCAGAGGTTTTTTAGCCATCCGGAATCCTTACTTACTATAAATCAACAGAGAAAATACTTCGAAAACAAAGATATCGAACAAAATTGTGCCCTTTATGCTTGAGATATGAAGCACAGTAATAATGTGTATGGATTTGTTGAATAAATACTATTTGATATAAAGGTAATTCTTGAATAAATTCTATAATGATATGAAATTTTGTTATGAAAATCAAATGATTAAAATTGCTCATGAAGAGCAAAAATCGATGTTAAGAAAGTAAATTGTTTTTTGATTTTCATAACAAAATTTCATATCATTGGATTTCATGTTTTTTTTTTTTAATCTAAAATAAATATGATAGGATCTAAAGTACTAATATACATATATGTTGAACCCAATAATTGCTCATAAAATTTTGTTGGAGAAATTTATTAAATTGCATGAAATACAACCATGCATCAGCTTCACATCAGACTGATTCCATATATCCCAAATTCTTATCTAGTTAAAAAAAATTCAATAAACTCCTTTCCATTCGTAAAGTTTCCTATTCAAATTTTTGATAAAGGTCCACTCAATAGTGAGGCAGGAAAACGATAGGGCGACTTTAGATAGGGGTAAAAAGGGTCATTCAAATTTTCAGAACTTTTTTGAAAATATAATTAAAGAAAAACTCTCTATCTTTGCCTTAAATGGGCATGGATCAAATCGGAAAGAATTTTCAAAATTATGACTTTTAAAAAACGGTTGGTCTGACTTTTTTTGACTAATACTCAGAAGAGCCATGATAAACGAAAATGAAAAAAAAATCATTACAAATTAAGAATAAAATCATCATTCAAAATATAAGTCAGAAAACTGACCATCAATGGAGCAACCATTCAAAAAAATTTGAAGACTTAACTTCATTTTTAATTAATGCTGACCTTCTTCAGCGTGTTTTGCAGCTCCAAACTGGCATCAGATAAGTTGATAAACATGATGAATACGGAAACGGGAACAACGATATCTCCGGAACCTTTCGCGAAGCTTGGTTGCCCAGAAGAATATGGAACATATATAATTTCAAAAAATCAGATTGGTTCTATAACTATCGAATCTTCTAAAGTATGTCACTATATTATCAAAGGATCTCAAGCAACTATTACAATTAAAGGTCCAATAGGTATTTCAGTTAGAACAAATCAAGTATCAATTAATGATGAATCAGATATTACATACCCAGGCAATCAGCCACTTATCCTTGTTGAAGAATATGTTACGCAGTTTACCTATACACCAAAATATCAAGGTACTCCTAAATCAAGTTATAATTTCTTGCATTCTTCTATAGCGAACACTCAGAAAATTATTATTAAACCCACTCAATATGCTGAATATAAATCAGAACAGCCTAGTTCATATTACTATCTGAATGAAGGTGATATTACTTCTGAATTTACTGGATACACTAGTAAGCTATTTGCAACTGTTACAGCACCTCCACCAACTGATGATAAAACCGATAAAACGAGTTCAACTGGCTCTACTGGCTCTACAGGGTCTACAGGTACTTCAGGAAGCTCAAGTTCATCCAGTTCTCCATCAGAGAGTAAAGGAGGAAGTGGCAGCTTACCTATAATTATTGGTGTCATAGTTGCTGTAATTGTGATAGGAATTGTCATTGGAGTTTGTCAATTATTTGTCTTTGTCATTAAAATTAAAAAGAATCAGACTCTAACCATCCAGCCGAAGCAGTTTAAATACGAATAAAAAATTAAATTTATTCATTTATAAAATTTCTACAAAAATTGTTTATTACAGCAATTTGAGCCTTTGTTCCTCATTTGGGATACAATTCATTAACATGTACCCCAAAATCGAGCCCAAAATCAGATACACATAAAATTAATTATGTATATCATGTAACGACTTTATACTTACAATACATATTAGGCCATCATGTATGATAGATATTAATACACTGACAAACTTTTCACAATATATATACTTACACCAACCTATTAATTCATGTGTCAAAACACAATAAACTCAAATAAACTATATCTTTCTCAATTTCAATATTTTTTAATCAATCTATAAGTTGATTAATCAAAACGTTCATAATATTATGCCTAATTTTCAAAATTTTCGCTTGCTTTCTCAAAATCAGAAATTCTTAAAAATTTTCTAATTTTTATAGTATTGCTGTCTGGGCGATATTTGAAGTTTCGTCTATTCAAGTTGAAGAAGAGATGATAGACCAAAATTTTCATACTTTCTTCATATTTGAAATAATGTTTTAACAAGAAACTCAGTTGAGCAACAAAATCAGCAATAAGATGTTCATTGTTGAAGGGAACATTCAGAGACTCTCTTAAGTAGCTTTTGGAGTCTTTGTTCCTCATCTGTGGTACAATGTATTAACAAGTACTTCAGATGAGGAACTGAGTCAGCAATCGGAATCTGATTGATTGCCATAGCCTAAAATGATTACTCAAGTTATTTTTTATTGATCATATTTTTTCCCTTGAAATAGAAACAAATCAAGTAATCTATATAATTCTAATTCTAATTTTTTTTTCGAAAACCCCCTTGCCGATTTCTGTGACCCCAAGCATATAAGTTTCTCAATAGATATGTAATACATATCCATCAACAGATCTGGAAAATCATCATTGAAAGTTTGTGAAGATTGCATCTATGATTTACACACATTAATTATGTATTTTTTGATAGTGTATGAAATTTGGTATTATTTCTAATAGAAATGTATGCTTAATGAAACATTCAGTCAATGAAAAAAAAATGCTATTCAAGAGCCAAAATTGAATAGTCGTAAATAAAGGCCATGCCTGTAAATTTTTGATTTTGGTTATTTTGATATCAGTGAGAAACTGTTCAAAAATGAAATAAAATTATTATATAAATCAGGTTTCAACAAATTCAAGCTAAAATAATCGTTGTTCCAAAGTTTTATTTCATTTCATATGAAAGGTTAGTTTCTTACAATAACCGATGCATTATTTGATAAAAAATGAATGTCAAGTGTGATAGTAATGCATCGAGTATTATTGATGGTGACGAGAATGAAGAATTTCAATGATCTTTAAGGTTGTTGTTATGTGGTTATTCTTAATACACCAAGGGATGAAACGCATGCATTCCTGGAAGAAAGAAAGATCATTTTTTAATTCTGTTCCAGAAGTGTAAGAAAGTTGTAGAATGGGAGTTATTGCTGCAACAATAACCTCGTCTATGAATCTGTTTTGAACATCTCCGTATTCTGGAGGTAATGAACCTGTTTTTTCGATATTTTGAATCATAGAAACAACTTCTGGTATCATTAAGTGATAGTCCCCTTCTCGTTCGACGCATTGTGTGAAGATTATTGTAGAAGTTTCAAAATCTTCAGAGAATTTCAGCGTCATAATTCTTTCTAAAAAAAATTCAAAAATAATTTTCCATGGATCAAATATCAGAAATTGTTCATTTTGGAGAAATGGCTATAGCCAGAGGTTTTTTAGCCATCCGGAATCCTTACTTACTATAAATCAACAGAGAAAATACTTCGAAAACAAAGATATCGAACAAAATTGTGCCCTTTATGCTTGAGATATGAAGCACAGTAATAATGTGTATGGATTTGTTGAATAAATACTATTTGATATAAAGGTAATTCTTGAATAAATTCTATAATGATATGAAATTTTGTTATGAAAATCAAATGATTAAAATTGCTCATGAAGAGCAAAAATCGATGTTAAGAAAGTAAATTGTTTTTTGATTTTCATAACAAAATTTCATATCATTGGATTTCATGTTTTTTTTTTTAATCTAAAATAAATATGATAGGATCTAAAGTACTAATATACATATATGTTGAACCCAATAATTGCTCATAAAATTTTGTTGGAGAAATTTATTAAATTGCATGAAATACAACCATGCATCAGCTTCACATCAGACTGATTCCATATATCCCAAATTCTTATCTAGTTAAAAAAAATTCAATAAACTCCTTTCCATTCGTAAAGTTTCCTATTCAAATTTTTGATAGAGGTCCACTCAATAGTGAGGCAGGAAAACGATAGGGCGACTTTAGATAGGGGTAAAAAGGGTCATTCAAATTTTCAGAACTTTTTTGAAAATATAATTAAAGAAAAACTCTCTATCTTTGCCTTAAATGGGCATGGATCAAATCGGAAAGAATTTTCAAAATTATGACTTTTAAAAAACGGTTGGTCTGACTTTTTTTGACTAATACTCAGAAGAGCCATGATAAACGAAAATGAAAAAAAAATCATTACAAATTAAGAATAAAATCATCATTCAAAATATAAGTCAGAAAACTGACCATCAATGGAGCAACCATTCAAAAAAATTTGAAGACTTAACTTCATTTTTAATTAATGCTGACCTTCTTCAGCGTGTTTTGCAGCTCCAAACTGGCATCAGATAAGTTGATAAACATGATGAATACGGAAACGGGAACAACGATATCTCCGGAACCTTTCGCGAAGCTTGGTTGCCCAGAAGAATATGGAACATATATAATTTCAAAAAATCAGATTGGTTCTATAACTATCGAATCTTCTAAAGTATGTCACTATATTATCAAAGGATCTCAAGCAACTATTACAATTAAAGGTCCAATAGGTATTTCAGTTAGAACAAATCAAGTATCAATTAATGATGAATCAGATATTACATACCCAGGCAATCAGCCACTTATCCTTGTTGAAGAATATGTTACGCAGTTTACCTATACACCAAAATATCAAGGTACTCCTAAATCAAGTTATAATTTCTTGCATTCTTCTATAGCGAACACTCAGAAAATTATTATTAAACCCACTCAATATGCTGAATATAAATCAGAACAGCCTAGTTCATATTACTATCTGAATGAAGGTGATATTACTTCTGAATTTACTGGATACACTAGTAAGCTATTTGCAACTGTTACAGCACCTCCACCAACTGATGATAAAACCGATAAAACGAGTTCAACTGGCTCTACTGGCTCTACAGGGTCTACAGGTACTTCAGGAAGCTCAAGTTCATCCAGTTCTCCATCAGAGAGTAAAGGAGGAAGTGGCAGCTTACCTATAATTATTGGTGTCATAGTTGCTGTAATTGTGATAGGAATTGTCATTGGAGTTTGTGTATACTTCTTTGTCATTAAAAAGAAATCAGACTCTAACCATCCAGCCGAAGCAGTTTAAATACGAATAAAAAATTAAATTTATTCATTTATAAAATTTCTACAAAAATTGTTTATTACAGCAATTTGAGCCTTTGTTCCTCATTTGGGATACAATTCATTAACATGTACCCCAAAATCGAGCCCAAAATCAGATACACATAAAATTAATTATGTATATCATGTAACGACTTTATACTTACAATACATATTAGGCCATCATGTATGATAGATATTAATACACTGACAAACTTTTCACAATATATATACTTACACCAACCTATTAATTCATGTGTCAAAACACAATAAACTCAAATAAACTATATCTTTCTCAATTTCAATATTTTTTAATCAATCTATAAGTTGATTAATCAAAACGTTCATAATATTATGCCTAATTTTCAAAATTTTCGCTTGCTTTCTCAAAATCAGAAATTCTTAAAAATTTTCTAATTTTTATAGTATTGCTGTCTGGGCGATATTTGAAGTTTCGTCTATTCAAGTTGAAGAAGAGATGATAGACCAAAATTTTCATACTTTCTTCATATTTGAAATAATGTTTTAACAAGAAACTCAGTTGAGCAACAAAATCAGCAATAAGATGTTCATTGTTGAAGGGAACATTCAGAGACTCTCTTAAGTAGCTTTTGGAGTCTTTGTTCCTCATCTGTGGTACAATGTATTAACAAGTACTTCAGATGAGGAACTGAGTCAGCAATCGGAATCTGATTGATTGCCATAGCCTAAAATGATTACTCAAGTTATTTTTTATTGATCATATTTTTTCCCTTGAAATAGAAACAAATCAAGTAATCTATATAATTCTAATTCTAATTTTTTTTTCGAAAACCCCCTTGCCGATTTCTGTGACCCCAAGCATATAAGTTTCTCAATAGATATGTAATACATATCCATCAACAGATCTGGAAAATCATCATTGAAAGTTTGTGAAGATTGTATCTATGATTTACACACATTAATTATGTATTTTTTGATAGTGTATGAAATTTGGTATTATTTCTAATAGAAATGTATGCTTAATGAAACATTCAGTCAATGAAAAAAAAATGCTATTCAAGAGCCAAAATTGAATAGTCGTAAATAAAGGCCATGCCTGTAAATTTTTGATTTTGGTTATTTTGATATCAGTGAGAAACTGTTCAAAAATGAAATAAAATTATTATATAAATCAGGTTTCAACAAATTCAAGCTAAAATAATCGTTGTTCCAAAGTTTTATTTCATTTCATATGAAAGGTTAGTTTCTTACAATAACCGATGCATTATTTGATAAAAAATGAATGTCAAGTGTGATAGTAATGCATCGAGTATTATTGATGGTGACTATATTAAGGGAATTTTTGAATTTAATTCAACTTTCAGAACAATTGAAATTACAGGGAATATTAAGAAAATACCCTCATATTGCTTTCATGGATGCTCAGAATTGGTGTCTGTATCCCTATTCTCCAAAATCACGAGTATTGGACATTTTGCACTCTCCCATTGCGAAAAGCTCAAAAATATTTCAATTCCAACAACAGTTGAATCAATAGGAATTCAATGTTTTTCCTATTGTTTGTCATTAAATAAAATTGATCTACCAAACAGCATATCTAATATTCAAGATGGATCATTTTCATATTGTACTTGGATTTCAGATATTAAGCTTCCAAAATGCCTAGAACAGATATCTAGATATGCTTTTATAGGATGTGGCGAATTGAAAAACATCTCTTTACCAGTTAGTTTGAAAATCATTCAAATGCATGCATTTTCTGAATGTTCTAGTCTTATTGAAATTGTTATTCCTGATTCTGTAATAGGAATTGATATAAATGCGTTTAGTGAATGCCATAATCTTCAAAGGATTCAACCCCCAATGAGAATTATTGTGAAAAAATTCGGTCCCCATACTCATGGTTACCTTCCTGAAAATTGTATAATTAACTACACATTTAAGGAAAATGAGACTCGAATAAAAGCATATTCTTTTTTCAGGAATAAAAGAGTGACTGAGATTAATCTAAATAAGATTTATTTTGGTTCTGAAAAATTTGATATCCCAGAAAATCTGACCCACATAGAAGAGGAATCGTTTTATGAATGTTTAAATCTAAAAAAAATAATTCTTTCTGAAAAGATCATTTCTATCGGTAATGATGCATTCAATTCATGCGTAAATCTAACAATCATTATGCTTAATAATATATTCATCTCGTTAGGTATAAGATGTTTTGAAAATATTCTAGCTATTTGTCAATTTCCTGAGCAGCATTCTGGGTTTCAACCATATCAATATTATGGACAGTATAATATTGAAGCAAAAGCTCCAACAGATTCAACATTCCTTCCTCCATTTTGTTTTTACAATAGTAGCCTTACATCATTAAAATTGAATGGAATGATTAAAACTATTGGAACATATTGTTTTGCAGGAACAAATGTTGAAGAAGTTAATTTATATGGAGTTGAGATTTTGGGAGGTAGTGCATTTGCTGAATCTCGACAACTGAAGCGAGTATTATTCTCTGATTCCATAAAATTTATAGGTGAATATGCATTTTATAATTGCTCCCGGTTAATAGCATTAGAGTTTAGTTCACAAAATGCAATCGATGTACTCCAAAGTGCTTTCGAATCTTGTTCAAATTTAGATATCTCGACTATTTTATTAAAAATGAAGTATATTCCGGTGAAATGTTTCTACAATGTTACAAATATTGAATCAATTAATATTCATTCAAATATTGATCGCATTGAAGACTATGCCTTTTGTTATGCTAGCAATGTTAAATCATTGGTTATAGAAGAAGGAATACGAACTATTGGAAAATTCTCATTTAATAATGTTAACATTACAACGATCATCCTTCCAGATAGTTTGACAAGTATCGGAGAATACTGTTTCGGTTCATGTTCTAACTTGGTAACGGTTAGAAATCATAATTGAATAATCATAGAAGGTTTATTTTATAATTGTTTTTCCTTAAAAATCTTCAATTTAATGGAAAAGTTACTTACTTTGGCAATTCATTCTTCATGGCATATCATTTACCATTTTCAAAAATTGAAGCAAATAGCTATTTTGGAGAAGATGTTTTAATTAAAGTTGAGCATATTGAATCTATAGAATTTGGAGATAAAAGCCTGATCTGTGAACAGCATTTATCTTATCCATATAATCATGTGCAAACGATCAAATTTGGAGATGGTACATGTTTCTTTGAAGAAATAAAAGCAGAAAATTACTATTACACTGGTTCATAAAAAGATGATCATAATGTTGATGGGTCAGTATATAAAATGATTACAAAATATGCAACATCTGTTTATGTTCCAAGCTCATATTTGGTATCATCATTTTGTGGAAAACCAATTATCTATTATCCAGAAAATAAAAGAAATCCAAAGCAAAGACCTCATGAATTAAAACAAAAAGTGAATGCTCTTGATCTGTCGTTGAAGCAAAAATCAATGAAATTAAAGAATATTAATTTACAATCTGTTAAAGAATGCAATATTTACAATAACAAAACCATTAATATGGAAAGAATTGACAGATTTTATTTCGACCCAAAGAAATGTATTATCTCTTTGTTTCCCTCGATTATAAAATAAAAATGTAAGTTTCTTTTATATATCAAGCATAAAATGTTGATTTTTATTGATCATTATTGGGATTAAGCTTTATCACAATAATCTTGAATTTTCTTTATTTCATATAGAAATTCTCAAGCATTGCATTTATTTTAAATCTAGTAATAGTTCATATGGTTAGATATTGCTATCCGAAATTTCCAATAAAAACACATTCTATATAAGCTTGGTTTTAACTAAAACATATTTCGATTATTATTTCGCATTAAAACTATGTTTGCGATCTGTGAAGATAAACCTCATTTAAAATAGTTTTTGATGACCAAATGAATTATTAGGATTTTAATGAATTAATAAGACTTTGACTAAACATGGATATAATTTTACCAATATGAAGTAATGTTGGTTTGTTATCATCATAATTCTGATAGCAAACAATTGTGGTATTGAAATCTGGAGGAATGCTTATTATTTCATGCTTCAATTTTTCACGGAGTTTCCTCTTCGAAATTGGTTCCCTTTCTCTAATAGTATCTATTCCGCAAAATGAATCAATAAGATAAGTATCTGGAACATGCACTTTTAATTTATTGATATAAATAAAATAAGTAAAGAAATCATCAACAAAATAATCGGTTTTCTCTGATCCGGTGTATTTTAATTCAAAAAGAAAATCTTCAACTATACTTCTATACTCATTAACACTTAAAATACCCTCAAAATTAACTACCTGAAGGTTTTGACATTTAGAAAAAGGAAATACAGAAAATTGAGTTCCATTTGGAAATCTAATCGAATGAAAGCTAACATTATAAAAACTTATTGAAATAAACATTAATTGACTTTGTTTAAGATCTATATTGATCAAATTTAGACAATTATTAAAAGCATTAGGATAAATAGTTCCATACATTGCATCAATTATAACCTCTTTTAATCTATTGCATTCGGAAATTGCATATGAATCTATTGTTATAGAATTACAAGTAATGTTTATTGTTTCAATGTTTGATTGATCAAAAACTTTTAACCCAATATAGATTGAATTAGAATATAATGGATCTAAAGATTTGTTCAAATAATTAAATTGTGAAAGATTACAATTATACAAGCATGATTCTTCTAAGGAAATGATAGTGTCTGGTAATTGAATATTATTCAACGAAATACAATTATAAAATGCTTTAGACTGAATTGTACTTAGTATTCTTGGAAATTCAAATGAACCTAAAGATATGCAGTTGAAGAAAGTTTCAGGATGTATAATTTCAATCATGTTTGAACAATTAATTGATGTGATTGATGTGCATTCTTTAAATGCTTTCTCTCCTATAAATTCGATGATATTTGTTAGATCTATAAGCCCTGTTAATGAAATGCATCCTTCAAATGCACTAGACCCAATGTAATTAACATTTTTAATATTATGAATGAATTTGAGATTTTTGCAGCCATAGAAACAATATGGTTCGATTATTTTGATGTTATTTGGAATTGTATACTCTGTTATGTTAGAATCATAAAATATATACTGAGGTAACTGTATTATTGAAGATCCTAATATCAATTGGTTTATCATTGATTTATTGGTATAAAATGCATAGGGTCCAATTGATACATTATTTTTGAGTTCCAAATTTAATATTATAGCATTAGCAAATGCATAATCTTGAATAGAAATTGCTGAAACGACCAAATTATATAAAGATGTAGATTCGAATGCATGTTGTGCTATAAATTCCACAGTGCTAATATTTATATCATTTAACGCAACACAACCACAAAAAGCAGAATCATATATATCTTTTGCATGGCAATTAATGACACTTTTTAGTTGAAAACAATTATAGAAACAGAATTGTGGAATTGTTATGATTTTTTCATTGAGGGTAATTGTTTGAATAGAAGAATGTGCAAAAGCAGCATATCCTATAGCATCAATACCTTCATCAATTGTAAACGTGGTTATAGAATCATTTTCAAAATATTGATAAGGTAATATTTTATTACTTAGAAATTTTGATGGTTTTATTATTAATCCAAATGAATGAAACTCTTGTATTTCCATATTGAAATCAATGCATTTATATTCGAAATGATTTATTCCCCAGCATTTATCGAAAGCATATTTATCAATAAAACTTATGTTTTCGTTCAAAACAACTTTTTGCAAATTTTCACAATTTGCAAATGCATACTGGCCAACTGTTGTTATATTGTCTGGAAAGGAAATGATTTTGTTTGAGGATGTAATAAAACATGTTTCATTTATTTCTATTAAATCGCTGCAGCCCTGCATGAAATAATTAGGAATAGTTGTATGAACAGAATGCATAGTCTGAAATAATCTCAACTGAGTCAGGGAGAGAAATATTTGTTAATGATTCACAATAGCCAAATGCATATTTAGAGACCTTTTTAACAACTGAACAAACGTGAACTGAGAGTAAATTTTGGCATTGATGAAAACAAAAGGCAGGAATTTTATTGTAATTTGTCGAAATATTAACAATTCTGATACTGGAATTTTGTTCAAAAACAGGCGTTAATCTATCCCCATATACTGAACAGTATCCAAATGATGTACATTCAATATTCAATTTGACTTATCAAATCTTATATATAATATCAACAATGAAAATTAAAGTGGTAATATTTAATTTGAATTTTAAAATTTGTATTTATCAAAGATGAATCAGATCTAGAGCATAAACGTGTCCCCCATCAAGGGGAAATTATAAAAATGAGTTGTTGGTCGTATTTCATATCACATGTCAATATGGCCAACCCTTGTTTTCCATTGTGAAAAACTAGAATTCCCTTTCATTATAGAATTTGTAAATGATTATATAATAATCCAATCCAAAAGATCAAATTTGGAGATGGCACTTTTTTATGAAGGGACAAAAACTGAAAAAGTAACCAAATTGGATTCTAATTTTCATCATGAATTTCATCTTTGAAAATCGGACAATTTTACTTCTTAGTCTAGTATTAAGCTTCTAATAATAGATCCTAGCCATAAACTAAATACGAGGCGTTTTATCAATCTGGATACGGTGAAAATTCATTTTAATTACTATTTATACTGGTTCAGAAAAAGATGATCATAATGTTGATGGATAAATGTATAAAAAGAGCACAAAATATGCAGCAATAATTTATGTTCCAAACTCATATATATCTACTTTCTTTTGTGGAAAACCAATTTATTATCATTCAGAGTTTTATCAAAATTGAAAGAGTATAAATATTTATCAGACAAACAATATTGAATAGCAACATATGGAGCCATCTCTATCAAATTAATATTTAAAATAGCTTAACATGAGAGTTGGCCTTGATTTCTCCTGATAAAATGACTACTTTTGACACTTACTATATAAAATTTATCAAAACGTTTCCAACTCAGAATTTTACGAACCTCAGAGCTGTTGATTCTGGATATACAATATTGATGCATCATGTTTAACGTTTCTACATTTGATTTTGTAAGTCTTACACCCAATTTCCAATTTGCAAATAAACAAGTCTAATTTCGCGAAAAAAAACAAACAAAGATAGATTTTTATTCAATATTGTTAGATAATAAATTATAAATTGCTGTAGAATAAGGTCTTTTGTCAATTCTATCGATTTTCCTTTGTATCTTCACACTGTTGTTATTCTTCTTCAAATAATTCAAAAGATTTGATTTGAAATCAAATTTTCCTTTGAAAATGTTAAAGAATTCAACATATTCTGGAGGTATACTACTATAACTTGCAGGCATTGATAAAACAACCCTTATCAGAGCCTTTGTAATCGGAATTCTTGAAATTTTTCCCGAAATTAGTTCATTTAGTATAGTATTTATTGTTTCCTCACTCAGATAACAATCACAATTACTTCTATGTGTAATTACGACGTTTGAAATGAGTTTCCATGTCGCATCAGAAATTTCTTCGTTTTCCAAAGAATAAGCGAGGATAATCTGTATCTGGTGTAGATTATTTATCCACACTTTATCAGCAGATGGAAATACAGATAAATCTGCCAATCCGATAATTAAATCAAGTTTAATTTCGGCCGGCAAATGTGTTTGTCCTAGAGCGTAGAGGAGAACAAGGATCATTGGAAAAATGTCTTGGAACTCTTTCCGAGTGTTCTTGTAGTATCTATGGGCGTATTTACAAACAGATTTAATTAAATTTGAGTAAATCTTGTTTGGACTTTGAACAATTATGTCAATACACTGGGAAACAATTTGTAATGTCCATTTCGTGGATTGTACCATCATATCTGGCTTGACACGCGTGAAAAATTCCGAAATTAAAAAAATAATTTCGGAATCAAAGTAATTGTTCTCGAGATTCGCGTTGCCGAGTGAATGATAGAAATACATACATGATGTTACATTTGTATATATGAAATAAACTATAGATCTGAAGTATTTTTTGGAAATTGATTTTATATCATACAAAATCTTGAAGAAATTGGGAATTACTGTAGTCTGTTTGCTCCAGATCAATAATTTGAGTACCATTGATGCCAATTCAATGTTTTCCGAGGAAATTTCTTCTTCAAAAAAATGAGTAATTTGGGATTTTGACTGTTCTATGTAAGATTCGCACATCTCCTTAGCGAAGTTCAACTGAGAGACAACATCTGTGCTTGCAAAATGCTCAGACATGATGAATGTAATTTCTTGGGTCAAATAATACTTCGAAAGAAGGAGCAAACAGGTTGTTATTGGTTTCCCTGATGATATGAGTTCATCGAGGTTAGTAATTATTGGGTTTTCGATGTAATCAGTCTCATAAAATCTTTGGAATGAAATAATTAAGCTCCATAAGTAGGAAACAGAGTTAAATATCTGTGTAAAGATGGTTGGTTCACGGGATTTGATGCTTTTGGTGATGTATTTAAGTATTGCTTGCTTTTCAAAATCAGTTGTATTTTGTTTATCAAGTAAAGCAATGATATCATCAAAATCTGGTTTAACTATGAGTCTATCGTCAAATGGACCTTCTTCTATATGTAATGGAGTTTCTAAAAATTCTTTATATGATGTAAAAAGTTCTGAAATTTTGTTACTTTTTGTAAATTCAATTGAATTTTTTGGATGAAAATTTTCATAATCGAAATGAGTTTGGATAAAAGGAACTTGACTCGGGGGATCGCTATCGTCGAGATCTAATAGTTGCTTAAACTCTTTTGCATCTATTTCTAGCTGAGGATCGAGAATTCCTTTAACTGTTTCTGTCCATTTTTCTAAATCTGATTTGTATGTCTCGTAATTGTCGTATGCGTAAGGAGTCGGGAATTGTGGTATCAGTTTCGAACCCCATCGATTGTTGGATGATATTGTTTGGCTTATAAAGATGTCTTCCTTCTTATTTTGCGGCATAAATTTTGAAGATTCATTAAAATTGCTTCCTTTGATTAATATATTGTAGAGTTCATCGCAATGTAGTCTGTTTAGTACTTTGCTTCTTGAAAATTGTATAGAGTCTGGTTTTGGAGGTATATTTAAAGATAAAGAAAGTGGAAGAGGAAGTAGTGCAAGATTAACTGATGTCTTTGTATTTAAAATCCATTTTAAGCATGTTGAGACGTAATCTTCGTATTTATCTTCTGTTTTTGGTAAAGGAAACTTTGAAACTGTTGAATTTTCGACAATTTTTGCACGATCGGTTGCTTTGCTCCACTTTAAACATATTTCATCTATATTGGCCATGTTTGTATTCTCTGAACTTTGTCCTGTATCCTTAATTATTGATCTATTGCGCATTTTGTCACATTTTAATTATCACAAATTGCGGGAAGGTTTCCAGGTAAAATTAAAGAATTTTAATAAGTACACAATGTTGTGATAATTTTATATCCGAAAAACCGCGCAAATCTTATTCAATCTTCTTTAATAAATATTCCGTATGGTATTGAATAATCACAGAATTTTTGAATATAAACGGAAATATTTATAAAATTATCGCTGTCGTATTCACTTCAATTCTTCAAATTCTATGATGGGAATTGCATTTTTTCGGATTACCGTTTCATCTATAGGATTTTTAAAGTTGAGTCATTCATGGTTAAAATTCTAAAATCATTGCTTTTTATTCAAAAAGTGACTGTCGATCGAAAGTTTGAATGCTTGGTTGCTGCCACTGCCTTTGCTCCAAGGAGTACAGTGCCTATACTCGTGTAGAATCTTGCTATCCAAACGACGGTCGTGCTGACCCAGTTTACGCACGTGTTAGAGAGCTTATAAACTGGGGCACACATGATGTCGATCGTTTTTCAACGATCCATGAGATTCTTGCTGACAGAATCCAGCAGGATATCAACGGATCGAACGATGCTGGCGTACAAGTAGGCCTCAAAATCTGCGCAAACATCCTCCAAAATGTTAGAGAAATTAATCACAATCTTTCAACTACAATGGCACGAAGCATCACGCAGCTTATTGCCACAAAGCGTCCACCATTACTTCAAATCGCAAAAAGTTCAACACATGACTTAATCCAATACACCCAACGCCATATGCTTGCAGCTCCAGTCACTCAAATTATCAATGCTTTCTTAGAGCTTGTTACCGATGAGAGTCTCAAGGAGACCGTATTCTCATCTGTTGCAGATATTATTTCGATCGCATCAATTGAGTGGATTCCATTACCAAACATTCTCAAAGTTGTCAAGACATACTTCTCCGATGCTTCGACAAGAGAAATTGTTAAATCAATTGCCCACGTTGTTGTTCCTTTAATTCTTGTGCGATTGACCACATCATTATTCCAATTCTTTACTCAAAACAACCTTTGGGATGATGAGGACTTCTTATCTTCCATCATGATTATTCTGTTCAACGAAATGCCAGATAATTGTGGTCCTGGCTTCTTCAAATGCTGGCTTGAACAGCTTCCTCCTCGTACCCCAGAAGCTGGACATTGCAAGACACTCATTTCTGTTACCGTTAGACTTGTAGAACATATCTCTCCAGAAAAATTAATTTCTCAAGCTCAAACAGACTCTCTCGGTGTTCTTTACCTCTTCGTACTCAATTTACCGCAATTAATGTACAACGATAAGGCTTCAATCCTTGACAATGCTTTAATTATTGAAAGATTCATTGTTTCTCACATTCCACAGACAGAACTCCTCAAAATAGCTCATCATCAGATCTGGATGTATCTTCCAGAAGCAATTAATCATCAACTCGACTACGAACATGAAAAAGTTGGATTAATCTTCAGATTTGCCTCAGCTTTCAACGAATCCGCCAAATTGAACCTTACTAAGTCAACGGTACAAGAATCCCTCCTCAAAATCCAGAAATTCCTTATTTCTTTCCATCATGATGAAGCGACATATAAAATTGTCTTAGATCACATTCACGATTTGTACATTGCATACCCTCCATCGCGTATTGACCTTGTCGTGTACTTCCTGCTCGATCTACAGCAAGAAGTCATTGAAAAAGGAAACGATCTTTCAATGCACACATTCATCATGTCCGCGATGTCCTCAGCAGTTCACGATGGACCAGCCGGACTTGCTGAATACGTACAATCGATTTGCAACGCCAGAATCCAAAGCAAACCACCGCAAGTCGATCTTTCTCTTTCTTTCATCGTCAACCAGTTCCCTGCTTTAGAAGGAAGTAAACCAGGCACTGACGTAAAAGTTGTTGACTATTTCATGAAAGATAAAGTCCGCGCGAACGTTTCCCAGAGGAGACAATCAAGTGCAGCAGCTGTTGTCATTGCACACGCAACATTTGAACAGATGAATTCAAGGTTACATGATGAAGAAGATGAAGAAGAGATTGATGAAGTTTTCAATCAGCCAATTCCTCATTTGGTATTTGCTGAAGACGGAGAAGCTTCTGAACAATCATTGGTTGAACCTGTTCCACAAACATTCGATGAAGCAATGCAGAAACAGAAAGGAAAGATGAAAGAACACGATGATTTCATGAAATCAATCAAAGACATGAAATTCGAATGGAAGTCTTATGTTCCTCTTCCTGATGGACATCCACAAGCCAACCAACAGAAGGAACAACAGAAGAAGAAAGATGAAAGACAAGTGAACTTCAAAGTAGAAGAAAAACCAAGTATTTTGGCTCCTCCAGAACAAAAAGTTGATGAGAAACCAAAGGAAGAAAAGAAAGAAGAGAAAAAGGATGACCATGATGAATCTGAGTCTGGATATGAAAGTGAATACTTGTACAGTGGTTCTTATTAATACAGTGGATATTCTTCAAATTAATTTATATATATTAGATTTTTTTGATTTATATTTATTTATTTTAAAGTTGTGAATAAAATTATTATTGATAAATTTCTATTAACTTGATAAATCTTCTTCTTCAAATTTGCAAATCAAGAATTGAATTTTTCTTGAGTTCATATATTGCAAATAGGTGATGATAAGAGTATATCAAGAAATTTATTATTGATAAATTTCTATTAACTTGATAAATCTTCTTCTTCAAATTTGCAAATCAAGAATTGAATTTTTCTTGAGTTCATATATTGCAAATAGGTGATGATAAGAGTATATCAAGAAATTTATTATTGATAAATTTCTATTAACTTGATAAATCTTCTTCTTCAAATTTGCAAATCAAGAATTGAATTTTTCTTGAGTTCATATATTGCAAATAGGTGATGATAAGAGTATATCAAGAAATTTATTATTGATAAATTTCTATTAACTTGATAAATCTTCTTCTTCAAATTTGCAAATCAAGAATTGAATTTTTCTTGAGTTCATATATTGCAAATAGGTGATGATAAGAGTATATCAAGAAATTTATTATTGATAAATTTCTATTAACTTGATAAATCTTCTTCTTCAAATTTGCAAATCAAGAATTGAATTTTTCTTGCAAACATATGTTCCTAATAAGTAATGATAATAGCATATTTAGAAAAAGTTAAATAATGGTTATGCAAAGAATAACTAGGGCAGCATATGAATTTTCCGAATAATATTCTTATGTTCAGGAGTTTCGTTGAATTTTAATCATGAAAAGATATTAATAATAAAAATAACTCATTTTTACGTTTTTAAATTTCAAAAAAAATCAAAAATTATTTTGTTTTTAAAAAGACAATTTTAAATTTAGTATATTTTTGAATAGATTATTTCAAAATCAATTTTGCAGACTCTTTTGGAAGGGGTAAATATACTAACGGTGGTTTTAACTTTTGATTATGATTCACGATGAAATAAAAAATATACGTGGTATTAAAAGTTTTCGAAATATTCAAGTTTATTTCGAAAACCAAATTTCCTTTTAAGGGGTTAAACTCAGGATTTACAATTACTATATGGTTTCATATTGAAATTTGCTTCATAATCTTAAATTTCATGTTAGCATAAGCACAGCGTACAAGTAATTCTAAATATTGTATGCTATGCTTATAACATGAAATGGGACAGTATTGTAGTTCAATAAAATTTAGTATAAATAAAGAAATAAAAATTGAGAAAAATTAATCTTATGTTTTGATGCTTTTTTGACCTTGCAAGTATCTTTTACTTCTTCTTCAATAACATTCATCGTTTTTTATATATCAAACTCTAATACTTTCCTCAACGACTTTCTTTTTTACCATCATTTTTTATGACTGGCGTAGCTTTTTTTACCATCATTTTTCATGGCTGGCATAGCTTTTTTTACCATCATTTTTCATGGCTGGCGTAGGTATTGATCTTGGTAATACATTTTCAAAAATTGCAATCCAAGAAGAAGGTAGGAATCATCCAGTGACTATTGTTATCGATGGTGCGTTTTCAGTTCCTTCAATTGTTGGTTTCATTGGCGATGAAGTTATCTTTGGCCAAAGGGCAAAAGAATACAAAGATGACTACGAAAAAAATGTTATTTATGATACAAAGAGGGCTTTGGGTATACATTTTGATGATCCTGAAATTCAAGATTATTGCCAATCGTGGCCTTTTAATACTTCCGCTGATGAAAACGGATATATTCAATACGATATATGTCGTAATGATGGAATGATTGTTCATCAGACTCCAGAATCAATTACTACATTATTTTTAAATCACTTAATGTTTCAAATGAACAGGACACAAATTAGAAAAGTTGGCCATGCAGTCATTGCTATTCCAACTTACTTTTCCAACATACAACAGGAGAAAATTAGAGCTGCAGCCGAATCTGCTGGAATTCGTGTAGTTTCGCTCATTCCTGAATCATTTGCAGCAGCCATCGCATATGGTAGGCTCAATCACACAGAACAAAAACTTCTCATCTTCGATTTCAGCGGAACTTCACTCAGTGTATCTGTTATCGAAATAAACATGAATAACGGAATAACGGAAATATCTACAGCCATTGATCCTAACATCGGAGGTCATTGCATCGATAACAACTTAGTCAGATGGGTATTAAAGAAATTAGAGGAAGAAGGAATAATATTAAATAATAATAGTTTTAAGAAACTATCTATCATCCAGGATGCTTGTGAAAAAGCTAAGATTAATTTATCAAATAGAGGTGTGGTGCGTACAAACATTACATTCATTCTTGACAACCATGAATACAATTACTTCATTACCAAAAGAAGCTTAGAGACAATCAATTCTGAGATTTTCGAAAGACTTATCCCTACTGTTGAGGAAGCTCTTCAAAAGGCAAATTTGACAAGATATAAAATCACTGACATCATTGCTGTAGGTGATTCATCAAAAATAAATGCTGTTATAGAAAAACTTACTGATTTCTTCGATAAAGAGCCGCTCTATTCAGACAGCTTTGCTCATGTGGAAGCCATCGCATGTGGTGCTGCTAAATATTGCAAGATGAAACTCCAAGAAGGAGGCTTTGATGCTGAGTCTGAGTAAGAAATCATAAGAAGATTCAATTATTAATTGGAAAGTTGCTATTAAAAAGTCCTTGATGATATGACAAATAGCGCTATAAAATTCTTTTTTAAAAAAATAACAAATAAAAATTTATAAAAAAATTATTCTTCAATATTGCTTGGTTTGCTTGAACTTCCCATTTCTTTATCAATTTTATCAACAGCATCTGCAAATACCATCTCAACAGTTTGTCTAAATATATCAGGAGAAGAAATTTTTGAAAGATTTTCTGCAACATCTTCAGCAGTCAACAAATGAGTCTCAAATACCTTGTTCATTTGATCTAAAACAAACATAACTCTGTGATCAAATGTTGTTGTCCTCTTTCTTTGCTTGGCAATTTCAATAACTTGTTTATCATTGTTAACTAAGTCATTTGCACTCAGTTTCATGCCTTTCAAGTCAACACTTGGATAATCTGATGAAACAATCGTAGGTTTGGAGTTAATTGCCTGCCATAATTCAATTAATGTGGTAATATCCTCGCAGTTGAAGCCATCAGCGTTTATTTCGTTCAAATTAGGCAAATTAGAGATAGTCTTAATCATCTGTTTCACGCCATTGTCTCCTGCCAAAGAATTTTTGATAGAAATTCTTCTCAACCACTTCATATATGAAAGACTCTCCAAGAACTGCAATATTTCAGTTGACTCGAATCTTCCACTCAAATCTATGGCCGATACTCTCAAACTTGCAAGTAATTGGACTAAATTTTTCAAAAAGTTTTGAGAATCTTCAGCTGTGATGTTGTCAAACTTAAGGGCTTGCAATCTCTTTTGCGTAAACAAGAAAGCAAAGAAGAATCTCGACTCTAAAGCAGGTAAAGTGTTACCCGACCAATCAACCTCAGAAATATTTGAATAGGCCTTTGAAAAGTCGATCGTTTCGAGAATTCCGTAACTTATTGGTTTTATGACTAAGCATTGCATCTGGAGTGAGAAAGGGACAACTCTTGGCTGAGAAATGAAGAGATGCATTAGCGTTTTGAAAGATGCAGAAAGGAAAGCACAGAAACTGACATTGATTGAAATTAAACTTGGAGGAAGAACAGCAGTTTCAATTATAGCAGATCTGAACTGCATGTGAGTCAAATTCAGTACTTTTATCCTGTTTGGAGATGTACATATTGTGGTAAATAAATCTGAAGCGTTTGAATCCATTCCACGCAATGTTAATGTTGTTAACTTGCTTGTTACTTGTATAGCATTCATAAATGAGTCAAACGGGAACGGATTCATTTTATTTCTGATAATATTTAAAATATTCAAGTTTTTGAGAGATGGAGATGTCTCTATTTTTGCTTCCAGCTTCTTAAACTCTTCGTCTGAAATGACGTTACCGCTTATTGTTAATTCTTCGATAGTTGGCGGTAAATTTTTAGAAAATTCAGCAAAATCTATCATCAACTGAGTTTTACAACGCATGAACCACCACTTTTTGACATTTGATTTCTGTATTTGAGCTGTTGGGAATTTCGGGAAAATATCAGCTTTGTAATCAGTAAAAGCTATCTTTTCTATCATCTTATTGTTTTCTAGTAATGCGTGAAGCATATTTGCAAACGAGGAATGAATATTTGCTTGGAAAACAACAGTATCTATTGAAGATTCCCAACCAATTGCAGTTCCAACGGAACTTGCGAATCCAGCAGGCGAGAATGATTGCCCAATAACTAACATTGGGTTTTGCTTTTGCTCAAATTTGTCAAAATATTGTAAAACACCGCCAATTTCGCTTTTTATATTGTAAAGATGTGCGAAAAATACTATTCTTGCTTGCAATAAGCCTTTTGGACGAGATTTAACTGTAGTTTGTGGTAGTTTTACCGTTGATCTTATGTCATAAAATTTCATTTGTGGCAATCCATAAGACATTTCTAACATATTAGTGTTTATCGCTTCGAATATTTCAATTGTATTTGGCGTTTTTATTTCTATTATTTCTTCACCTACTAAAAAATAAATTTGTTGTGGATTTACTTTGATTTTTGTTATCAAAAGTGGATGTATCTTTTTATCTAACTTTGGTTGTGCTAAAAATTTGCTTTTGAATATATAGATTGCGGCGTTTGTAATTAATAAAAATCCATCTTTATATTTTTTTGAGTTTTCTAAATCATATTGCATAGAGATCATGACCAAAATAGTTTCAGTTTTGAACCATATTGCTTCTTTGATGATATCGCTCTTTGAACCATCAATTTTGATGAGCGGCAAACTCATCAAAATTTATTTCAATTGATATACTTCATTTCAATTCATTTTCTGACATAAATTGTATATAGCTCTATTAATGAATTTGATTATTTCGGATCATAACGTCTTGAAGTCGTTTTTGTGTAATGATTGCAATATCATACAGTTCAGAGTTGACTTCTCTTATGTATAAACAAAATACGACAAAGGACAAACAATTTAAGATTAAGCTAATGCATATATATGCACTTCATATGAGATGAACAATTAATTATTTGGTAATCTCAATTATTCTCTCGTTAAGCATGGATGCATTTATACCTGTCATTATGTTAAGCTTCTTGCGGACAATTCTTCATTTAACTTGGTCCAATGAATTTTCTATAAAACTAAGTTCAATTAGTATTCACAACATCTCAAGCATCAAATGGAATAGATAGGGCATGACTTCTGAACTTAGATTTCTCAGACAAATCTTCATCACATTCAAATACTCAATAAGATTGAATATAGTTTGAAAGACTAACTATTGTGACGATGTGTATGATTTTTTCCAGCTTGGAATGCAAGCTTATCGATCAAAAAAGAAAAGCAATGAAATTTGAAAGTTGATCAACTTTAAAATTAATGCATTTTTTATTTGATGAAGTGAGTGAAGTTGAAATATCAATAAGATAGACCAAAATCTATCCGTACAATTCAAATTTTTGAAAAAAAAAGTTCGAAATGAAAAAGGTGGACACACTCGCGACGAGTGTATTACACCAACTTTCTAAATTAAAGCCCGGAAAACTATCTTCTTTACCTATTACAGATATTCAAATTCTTTGCAAAGAAGTAAAAAGAATCATAATGAGTCAGCCGGTTCTTTTAAATTTAGAAGCACCATGCACAATTTTTGGTGACTTACATGGTCAGTATTATGACATGTACGGATTTTTACAAAAAGCAGGCATGCCACCAGAAAAACAAATTTTATTTCTCGGAGATTACGTTGATAGAGGAAAAAATTCAATAGAAATACTTCTTACACTGTTCTGTCTTAAAATCAAGTTCCCAGAAAAGATATGGACCTTAAGAGGAAATCATGAATGTAAAGAAATCTCCAAACAATACGGATTTCACGAAGAATGCATGACACGATACGATGAAAGTATATGGGATACATTCAATGATGTTTTTGACTACTTTCCTATTGCAGCGATCATTGGAGGGAAAATCTTTTGTGTACATGGTGGATTATCTCCCCAATTGTCAGAATTATCACAAATAGCAACCATGCAACGACCTATTACAATACCAGAAAGAGGACTCATAGCAGACCTTGTTTGGGCAGATCCTTCACCATCTCATGATGGATGGCATGAGAGTGACAGAGGAACATCATATACGTTTGGACCAGATGTTGTAGATGCATTTTTGGCCAAAAATAACTTTGACTTGATTTGTCGAGCTCATCAAGTCACAGCAAAGGGTTATGAGTTCCCATTCTTCCCTAATAGAAGTACTGTTACAGTTTTTAGCGCTCCTTGCTATTGCAATGAATATAACAACTGTGGCGCAATAATGAGTGTTGCAAAGGACCTCAGATGCAGTTTTGTTGTTATAGAACCAGATCCTCCTGCAGGAAAGATATTATTGAGCGTGCCAGAATACAGAGATTTCTAATGTTTTTATTATTTTTTATATAGATTTTCACTTTGTTTAATAATATTAATGTGTTAAATGTTTAATTGTTTAATATTTTCGGAATTTTAATCAGGTCCACTTGGTTGCAATTACTTATATCTAAAAAAATAAAAATTCATATAAAAATTTAGAAATAATTTCGTTGAATTAGTAATTTAGCTGATTTAGCATCAGAAATTATTAAGTTTTATCACATGAAAATGGCAGAATGTTTCTTTGCACTCTGTTATGGTTGACTTATAGTAGTCAGCCTTTTCAGATTGTAATGGAGTTCAACGAGAAAAGTTTTTCATGCAATATATTCAAGCTGAACTTAACAGACATTCAACCTAATATCCATTATTACCCAACTAATGATGAGCCATTGATATATTATGTAGATAATCCCTACTTCACATCGCCAAAAAAAGATGGGATAATTCCGAAACTACTAAAAGACTTCGCAAAATTTATCAGAATTAATCTAAATTTATTTGTATTATCGAGATCTACACTTTATGTTTATATTTGTACAAATTCATCTGCATATACATTCGAAAATCAGTCAGTTTCTCTTATTGTTAAAGAATTTAAAGAGGAATTGGCAAAATTAAATTTAGTTTCATCAACAGATACAATTATTAGACACATAAGCAATAGAGAAAAAGGTATATTTTCCTGGGCAGCCATGAATTACTATCTTGGAAACTTTCACAAGCATCGTAGAACAGTCGGAATTTTGACCCTCGAAAAAGATTTCTTCCAAATTAGTTTTTCTTCAGATATTAACAATAAGTCAATCACTCCAAAGATATTTCACTTTGCGAACAAAGCTTATAAGGTATATTCTTTTATTTACCGAGATCTTGGATATTATACAGCATTTACTAAGACATTAGCATCAGATTTACCAAAGAGATTTGAAGGACATAACCATCCATGTCTTTTATACAATTCTAAATTACAATATCAAGATCTTACATTTTTCGGAACAGGAAAGTTTAATGATTGCCAGAACCTTATTGAAAACAAAGTTTTATCCGCAAATCAATCGTTTTACACAAATAATATTAACGGAATTAAACGATTTTACGCATTATCAAGTTTTTCTGAAGTTAATTCAGACTTAGACTTAAATTCTGACTCACCATTAAGTGAATTACTTAGTAAAGCAAAAGAAATTTGTCAACAAGATATTTCTTACTTCTTAGCAGAATTTAAGCCGAATATTAACTCAACCGAAATATGTTTTAACGCTATTTATCAATACAACTTACTTTATCGAATCCAATCCGACAATAATTTTTCAATTATTAAAATAAATCGAACTTATAATCATATGTTCACTTGGCATATAGGAGCAATAGTAGGAGATCTTACGAGTGAATCGTTTATGAGAAAAATACCTCAAAATTCGTATAATATTACTGTAAGAGTTTTGTTCTTTGGATTTGGTGGAATTATTGGCGTTTGGGTTGCACAAAGGTTATTTGCTGATGTGTCATTCGAAACCGCTGTTCCAGAAGATTGTAAACCTCTTACAAGTAATAAAGATGAAAATAATAATGATTTATCATTTGATAATGAATAATTATAGAGAATGAAGCGTGATGTATATAAAAGAACATATTACATGAACAATGAAGAATCTTTATTCTTATTTTCGTGATATTAGTTTTGTTTGAACCATATTAGTATAATAAAGTAGTTATATTTCGTAAAAGTAATATTTTTTTTGTAATCTTTTCTTTTAGGGTTTGCAAAATTGTTTGGATAAAATTTTATTGATAAAAATGCATTATACATTCAGATATGTTAAATCTATTCATTGGAATTAGTGAGTTTAATAAGATTTTGAAATCTTTGTGCTACTTGCAAAATGAATTCAATTGTCTTTTTGATTTTTAGAGCTTTCGTCAAAAGATTGCATACGTTAGATAATAAGTTGTAAGTTTACTGATAGCAATCTGCACTCATCGGTTGAGAGTCATTTTCACATTGCGGAATGACATAAGTATTTCAAAAAAATTGCTAAAATTGACCGCTCTTTATATGACTATATAATACTTTGAAAAGATAAACAATCACTTTTGAATATTTTACAAAGAGGTTTATTTTTTATACCGCTAATTTTGACATTTATCAAATCATTTTATTTCATACAAAATACTCGTTATATATTGGGGACCCAGGATTTAGCTTCTAATTCGATAAAAGGGGAAAATTTTGATAAAATTCATTTTTATGATAGAAAATTTCGTTTGAAAATCATCTATAATTTCACTTATTTGTTATAATTATTTTCATTCATGAAATTTTTGAATAAAATATTTGAATAAACGTTTATGGATTTTATAAATATTAACGTTAATTTTAAATATCTATTAATATGCAATATTCTTTACCTATTTATCCAAATTTAAACTGATTTGTATAAAATTCAGTTTTGAGATATTCACTTCATTTATATAAAATGTCCGACGCTGCACGCATGCGTAAACCAATTAAAGATCAAACCCCATCATTTGGCCGTGCTGGTGTTGAATCCAAGAAGCCAGCCCCATCAGCTTCTACTGGTTCTGCTTCCAAACCAATCTCTGATTCAGAAAAGATGAGAAAACCAATCAAGGATCAGACACCATCCTTCGGCAAGGCCGGTGTTGAGTCCCACAAGCCAGCCCCATCAGCTTCTACTGGTTCTGCTTCCAAGCCAGTCTCTGATTCAGAAAAGATGAGAAAGCCAATTAAGGATCAGACACCATCCTTCGGCAAGGCCGGTGTTGAGTCACATAGAGCTGCTCCAGCTGCTTCTACAAAAACAGCTTCCAAGCCAAAGTCCGACTCTGAAAAGATGAGACAGCCAATCGCTAACAATTGCCCATCCTTTGGTAAGGCCGGCATCAAATAAATAATCATGTATCTATTAAGTAACTAAGGTAGTTTTTATTCTTACAAATTTGTTTTTTATGATAAATTTTTCCGTTATATTCTTAGATGCCTATGAAAGGAATATATTTCATAGTATCATCACATAATTTTACAAAATCCATGTTTAAAACTTTATCTAATGTGAGAATCGTATAACATCGCGAGTTTCAAATCAAATATATGTTTACAGGTAGTAAGAATACATTTTCTTAATATCTTCCTTCATTCGATCATCTTATATTAAATTGATTTCATCCGTTATGTTGAGTAGAATACAAATTCACACCGAATTTATTTGGTTTTTTAAAAGTACATCCTAAGATGCTTAATTAATTTCTCATCATGCCCAAATTTTGGGTAAAAACAAGCTTATGAAAAGTTATCTTTTTTATGAAATTTGCGATTGTTATCATTGAATAGTTGTAAACTAAGGCAGTTATATCCCTTGATGTCTGATCTTAACATTCCCCCGAACAAATATAGTGAATTGAGAAGTACCTATAAAGATTATATCGATTTATATATTATGTTGTTTCATCTAAAAAACTGAAAATGAAGAAGAATTAATTTCAATTTACAAAATGATCAAAACAGAAATGATTGATTCAACAAAATACCTTCCAAAAGATATTATGAGAGATATTTTGGGAGTCATTCCGTATAATTATCGTTATGCAAAGTCGTTTTTGTTTCTGGCGAAATTAATTTCTGATGATTATCATGTTTCAGAGATCAGCAATATTCCATTTATATCTAACTATCTGTTTAATAAAGAATATAAGATTAAATTAGATAAGTCTCAATATTTCAAGGATAATATTTCAGACAATCTGAATATTCTTACAGAAAATACTATTTACAGAGCAATTATTCATAATGACTTAGAAGTATTCATCACATTCACTGAAAGAGAAGGATTTGATAAAGACCAACAACTTAAAAGCAGTTTTTATCCAAATTTTAATGGAAAATATTCGTTACTTGAATTATGTTGTTACCATGGAGCTGTTGATTGTTTCAAATTATTAATATCAAAATTCAGCTCAGAAATAACATATCAATGTCTTGAATTTTCATTTTTAGGAGGAAATCCAGACAAAATGAGCGAATGTTTGAAATATTATAAACCAAATTGGTACTGCATGAAATATGCAATTATTTCACACAACATTGATTTTGTTACATTCTTGATGAATGAATACAATATTCAAATCGATTTATGTGCTTGTGCAGATTATAATAATCTTGATTCTTTTTTAGCTTATTTCGATCAGACAAATGATGTTAACAACTGCTTTTTTTATTCAACAAAGTTTAATATACCATCTCTTTGCGAATATTTCCTTTCACTTGGAGTAGATATAAATACAAAAGTGAGATACAACGAGATAGCTCTTCATTATGCAGCAGAAAACAATCGTAATGAAATAGCCGAATTTCTTATTTCACATGGTGCAAATATCAATGATAGAGATGCAAACCAAAAAACCCCTCTTTATGTTGCGGTATTATATAATAGTAAAGAAACAGCTGAACTCCTTCTTTCACACGGTGCAAACATCAATGAAAAAGATAATATTGGACAAACAGCTCTACATGTTACAGCAAATTATAATATTAAATTAACCGAGCTTCTTATTTCATATGGTGCAAACATCAATGAAAAAGATAGATCTGGAAAAACAGCTCTTTATGTTGCAGCAGATTTTAATCGTATAGAAATAGCTGAATTCCTTCTTTCACATGGCGCAGATGTAAATATAAAAGATGAAGATGGACAAACCGCTCTTCATGTTGCAGCAAGTAAAAGTGATAAAATGACAGAGCTTCTTATTTCATATGGTGCAAATATCAATGAAAAAGATAAATCCGGAAGAACAGCTCTTCATATTGCAGCAGAAAATAATCGTATAGAAATAGCTGAATTTCTTCTTTCACATGATGCAAATATCAATGATCAAGATGAAGCTGGACAAACTTGTCTTCATCACGCAGCATGTAATGATAGTAAAGAAACGGCTGAACTCCTTCTTACACACGGTGTAAACATCAATGAAAAAGATAAATTTGGAAAAACCGCTCTTTTTGTTGCAGCAGAAAATGCTAGTAGAGAAATATTCTTACTTCTTATTGCACATAGTCCAAAAATCAACAAAAAAGATGAATGCAGGAAAAAACACTGTTCACATTGCAGCATATAGCAGTGGATAAAAGCATGATTAGGCTCAAGTATCTCTCAGAATGAATAGATAAGCTAGTGGAATTAATTCGATGAATGAAAGAAAGTAAAAATCAAATATATATAGTACTACTATTTTTTTTTATTAATTTATTCTGATTTGATCTTATCAATATTAACTAGTTCTAAAATATCATATTTTTAAATGATATTTTTAGGATTTTCAGTCTTCTGTAAAAAAATAGAAGAGGGTAATTAAATGTCACTTTTTAAATTCTAAATGAATATTGCTCCAAAACTCCCATGCTCTCTTAAAGAAGTTGAAGAACAACAACAATATCAAACAGAACTTTTCGATCTTAACTCAATCAACATCGAGTCATTAAATCCTGCAGAGAGAAATCGTCTCTTCACACAATTATCTGCGACAAATGGAGAAGTTCCAGCTGAAATACGCCGCATTACTGATGGATGGATAGCAACTGTTGCTAACAAAGATCCAGAACGTTATCAACCAAAAACAGGACGTCAAATCGTTCCAAGTCATTTACCGCGTTCTCAATTAATTGACACTTTCTTTTCACATCAAATTCCAGGCATTCAAGATTCCATTCTCACAGATGTAAGGCGTTTAGTCAGACTTCAATGTCAAATCAAACAAACAGCAGAGCACGGATCGCGCCAAATCAAACTCGCAATGCACCACTTAAATCAAATCGCTCCAGAAGCTAAACTTATCAGCCAAATTTCGACGGTCGAATATAATCCATTTGAGTCTATTGGAAAGATGATTGAAGAAGACGAACCTCTTAAGAAGATCAACTGCATTACGAGACTTGCACAAACATCTGTCTCTGTTTTACTTGAAAATACCGATGGAATTACAGCTGATTATACAAATGGAAACTACCAACATCCAAGTACTGCTTAACAATATGTTTGTTTTTCGATATAAAATATTTGTATTTTACTTTGGAATATTTTTTTTTATTCTTAATGATCGGTTTTTCTATAAAATTGAGATGCTATAGTTTTGTCCTATTGTTAGTTTATTCATTTCAATAGTAAATGGTCATTTCTTTAAAATGCTTCTACTTTTCACAATCTATATTTCTGATCTAAAAGGGTTTAATATAGCTCTCGGATTCTTAAATACACCAGAAAACACATATTATGCAAAATCACTAGTAGGATTTCACAGTTGCGTTGATGAAGAAGAAAATAAAATTAAATATCCAATAACACCTCAATTTTTAGAAAATCAGATACAATTAAATCTATCAGATGCGCAAAATATTGATGATAAATATGTATTACAACATTGTAGTTTAATCATGACTAAAAATTTAGAGAAAAAATGGAGAAAATATGCAAATCCAACAACCTACCTTAATATATACTCAGGGAAAACACGCAAAACTGTTAAACCTTTTACACAATCACCAAATGGAACATTATTTTTCACAAATTACACAATTCTAATTGCCGAAAATTCATCTCCCATTACACCTTCATTCATGGTTATGCCATATGATCCAGTTCTTATACAAAATCAAGCGAAAATCAATATAACATTTTCTATTGAGTTCATGAAAGTAGATATACCACCAAAAGACAATTTCAAGTTCCCATACTTATATTTATTATTACCACTTGGATCAATGTTTTTTGTATTGATGGTCAGATGTGTAATATCTTCATATTTCCCAAATATCACTCTTGTTGATGTTGTTGAAGCATGGAAAATCCCAGATATGCATTCCAATTATCTTCTTTTCTCAACAACAAGTTTAATTCATGTTTTTACGTTATTATTTGCGACTTTTGTGAAAAATGATACACAGCCTTTAGTTTATACATTTTATAATGCATATATATTTGCATCTTTCATTCCATCATTGCTGAGAACAATTTTTGATTTCGTTTTCCAAATTCCTATTTTCGAACCGAATTATGCATCCACAGTACTTTTTCCAATAATATTTAATGGAATAGGTTTCTTTGTATACTTATATATAATGAAATATATCTTTGGTTCTCATTTAACTTATGGCTTCTCAGGAATCATTCTTATCGTTTTGATTCACATGGGACCATTTCTTATAGTAAGAGCAATTTCATTTTTGGTATATAAATCTTTACCAAATACATGGCAGATGAAAAATAAAATCAAATTCACAAAACTTAAATATCAAGGGAAATGCGGCGATTTTCTATTGAATATAATATACAACATTGTAATTTTATGCATGAGTTTTCAGTTCTATCAACATATTATAGATATTTATCTTGATGCCATTCCTTTTAACTTTGAACTTGCATGGAGTACCTTTTTAATAACTACATCTGCAGGAATGACCTATGGAGCTATCCAAACATTAAGAGATGTTAAATATCAAAGATTTTTCATGCATTCTTATTTCATCAATATGTGCTATGCATTTCTTTTTACAACAGCTTATTGTATTATTGAAATTCTAGCCAATCGCAAAATTACTCAGTTTTTGAGTTTATTACGTTCTGGTTTAGGCGGATGTGGTGCTGTCGGAATTTCTATCATGATTGCTTTCTTCGCACCATTCACAACGTCATTCCTTATTATATTTTCCATTTTTAGAATATAGAATACTTTGTTATGTTAGAATAAAATTCCAAATTGACCAAAAGCAAATAATTTTTCTCCGAAAGTTATAAAATTACTAATATACATTATTTCCTATTTGTGAGTTTTCTTACATGAGTGTTAATGTGAGATACAATTTTTTTGGGAAATTGTAATGAATTGATAAGAATATGATCTTTGATAATTTCTTTTGCTCATTCGCTAGAATTTTTTCAATTTGAAAAAAGATTTTTGCCACACATTGAATTGTACACGCTCGGAAGAGCTTAAAATACATTAATCAGATGCTGTGTAAATGATAAATTTAATCACATTCTTAGAAAATTCGTTTTTATTTTTTTCAAAGGGTGTAAAAAAGTATAATCGCATATTTTTATTTAACACATTATTTAGACGAAATTGAACTCCGAACTTAATCAATTGAATTTGAACAATATATTGTAAAGTCTTCAAATTGTATTGGATCAAAAGTCAAAATAATTAATAGAAAATTGATTTGGATCAATTTTGAAATTTCATGTTTCTTACAACGATAGTATCTATCGTTCTGAAAAATTCGTATTCGTTGATATAATAAATCTACATACTGTTTACAAAAATCCTTCAAACACGTTATTTTAAAAAAAATTTCAAGACTACGTTTTTTCAAAAATGCTCAACAAATGCCTTGCTGATACATGCGAAAATGCAACCAACATAAAGAATGATTATTGTGCAGAAATTGGCAAGCATAAGACCGCAAAAACAAAATATCGCGATGACTCTTTCCTCCCTAATACACCATACAAACCTGTAGACAAACCGATCTTCAGTGGTGCTGTTTGGGAGCGTGCAGAGAAGATTTATGAACAATACACTAATACTGAGATCAAAAATTCAGAAATACACAGAGGTTTACTTAAAGATGATGCATTAATTGCAGTCTTAAGTGTGATGATGACAGAAAACAAAAAAATCATGCAGTGGTTCGAAACACCTCTGGAATTGACCACAGGCATTATCTGTGTAAAGATTCCATTCAGAAGCCAAATCGCACATGTTGTTGTTGACTCCAAAGTTCCAAAAGCAGATGGCAAACACTTACTTTCTAAGCCATCTCGTGGTGGTTTTCCATGGAGTGCTTACATAGAAAAAGCTCTTGCAAAGCTTCTTGGATCTTTTCGCGCAGTTGAGAAGTTAACAGTTAAAGAACTTTTATATTCGATCTTCAACTACACATCCCGCACAATTGTCAGCTCCAATTTGGACAACCGTATTTTCGAAGATGTGTCAACACTCATCAAACAGAATACACAAGCCTTCTGCATTGTTGGCAATTGCAAGGATGCTAATGACGTTGGTTTCAACCAAGAAAATGTCTTCTTAGTCAATTCAATCACTTGCCAAAACAAAGAATACTATGCTCTTCTCTATAATCCAGGTGGCAAGCGCCGCTTCGTTTCTACCTTCGAAGAAAGACTTGATCGCTGGAAAGGAGAAGCCAAATTCCCGAAGGTCAAGGATGATGCTTTTGTTATTCGTTCCGCAGCCATTCAGAAGTACACACAATACATTTTACTTGCATCTCCAACCATCAAGAGCCAAAATGAAAGTAACATTTCCACAGAAATCAAAGAAGGCGAACTTTTACCAGAAAAATCGTTCAAGCTCAAGTCAGACAAATTCGCTAACATCTCATTCATCGTAGAATGTTCCGAATCCATACCGCACGACGTCATTATCCTTGAAAACGATCGTCTTAAAACACATATCGTTACAGGAGACTCAATTGAGTTCTTTACTGTTCGTACAGACCCAGAGAAGCAGTATACACTCTTCTTTATGGCCGAAAAAGCTTGCAAGATCAACGCAAACTTCAATGCTGAATCAGCTTTCACCGTACAAGAGGAAAACTTCGTCAACAACCCATTACAGAAAATCGGCTACGGCTACTTAACATCCAGTAAGCACGATGGCCGCACACCTCAAGCTCCAAGTAATATCGGACATATCCAGCAGTGGAGACTTAAAGTTTCAGAGCCATGCAAGCTCAATTTCCGCGTCATTAATAAGACATACTGCGATGCAAAGCACTTCTTCTTCATCGCTCAAACAGGTGGAGAAAAACTTAGAACATGCGGCGAATTTTTCTACCAAGAACATTGCATAGAAGGTAACGAGCTCGATGGCGAATGGTCAGTTGACATCACAGATGTATCAAAGGACTACGTTTTCGGTTGTTACAGAAATGCATGTTCAGTTACTACTTTTTATGACTTTGAAATCATCGCTGAGAAGCCCATTGAGTTCACAAAGATACCAGATATCGAACCATCGATGAATGTTGCTTCTATCAACGACAAGATTCCAAATTCTAAAAACGATAACAGATCACCAGTTGCCGGCAACCATGGTTTGACACGTCTTAGACAGTGGACATTAAATGTCAATGAAGATGGCAAGGTTTTCGTTGAATTCGAGCATAATGACGGATGCCAGCATTCCGTTTGTATCCAGAGAGGCAGCAAGAGGATGAACCACTTCGGACTTGAAGAGCATTGGTTATTTGCCAGTGACATGAAGTACGATGTCTTTGAATTTGATGCCAAAAAAGGACTTTACACTGTAGCTGTTATTAGAAGTTACATGAAAGCTTCCAGTGAATTCAAAGTCAATTTCTACTCCAAAGTCGATCTCTCCATTAAGCAAGCTCCATCTTTGAGTACCGAAAAAGCTCATTTGTTCTCAAAAGATGTCAGATTCGAAACAGGAGATGGCGCAGGATTCTTCCCAATGGAAGACCAAACACCACCGGCCAAACAGTACTATTTGGTCATGCCGGAGCCTCAAATGTTGATCGGCAACATAGAAATCACAAACCAGAATCCAGATGGTTTGTACTGTGTTTACATAGAGAAGAATGGCGGCAGGAAGCTAACAACATCGAATCCAGACCACTTAAGCGAACACGCGATTGTCAGTGGCCAGACAATTAAAGAGTGGTTCAATTTCGATGTCGAGTGCGATCCAGAAGTTGGAACTGTTTTGACATTCGCTGTTACTCGTAAAGGGCCAGGAAAACGTGCAACAATTTCTGTTAGATTCTACAGTCAGAAAGCTCTAGCAATTCTGCCAGCAACAGAGGATTTGACTGAAGAACAAATTGCTGAGGCTATTAAGAGGGCAAGGGAGGAAGAGCAGATTATCTCCGCAACTACTTCGCTTAAGAGAATTCCTAACACTTTATCGTCGAAGGATGTAACTATAGACAATAGCACTGAATCTCAGAACCAGACTGGCACTCAAAACGGTACACAGAATGCTGGTGATAAATCAGGCCAAAGCCAGGCAAATCCAAATGGCCAGGAGAATCAGCAGAAGTCAACTTGCTGCCTTCTTTTGTAAATATAAATTTTTTCTTCTTTTACAAATTATCTTTTTTTTTAAATGACATCATTTAATATCTCTCAGATTGTATTAACTAGAAGTTAATAACATGACAATGTGACAAATTTATGAGGATCATCTGGTCCTGTAATGGTTTCTGACCATGAATGATTTTGAAAATGTAATTCAATTAGCATTGTTAATTGGATATCATTTAATAACATGTTTTACATCTATAAAAACTTGTCTTTGTATAGCATGACATTCCTGCTCTCTTTGATTAGATGTTTTGAAAGAATTTACTTTTGTCATTAATATCTGAGAAGATAATCATTAATCTTGGCAAGCATATTCATAAACGGTTTAATGATTTTGTTTTTAAAACAAATTCAGATTTCAAAATTTTATTGGTTCATAAAATTAACATATCGCTATTATGATATGCTTTTGCTCGAAAAAATATTAACATTGTCAAGCTTCATTAATCATAATTCTATAAAAACATTATCGAATCATGACTCAACCTTTTGAGAAAACTATTAAACAGTTAAAGACATTGATTGAATATAGAAAGACTCATCTTGCACCTGTTGATACAATGGGTTGCGATATAACAGCAGAAAAAATAAATCCTAAAGATCATAGATTTCAAATTTTGATCTCTCTAATGCTAAGTTCCCAAACAAAAGATCAAATGACTCACGCTGCAGCTTTGAAGCTTCAAAAAATAGAAGGTGGTTTCAATGCACCAAATTTAATGAAAGCAGACAGAGAAACCATCCTTTCATGCATATCATGTGTAGGATTTGCTAATAGGAAAACAGATTATATTAGAGAGGCAGCAAAAAGATGCCATGAAAAATATGATGATGACGTTCCTAAGACACTCAAAGAATTCACGGAGTTTAAAGGCGTAGGAATTAAAATGGGAACATTAGCTATGGCGCGATGCTGGAACGAACAAATCGGCATTGGTGTAGATGTTCATGTTCATAGAATTTCAAACCTTCTTGGATGGGTTAAAACAAATCATCCAGATGAAACTGAAACAGCACTTCAGAAAGTGCTGCCAAAAGACATTTGGCCTGAAGTTAACCATTGTTTAGTTGGTTTTGGCCAAACTGTATGTGGATCCAAGAAGAGGAAATGTGAAGAATGCCCTATATCAAGTACATGCCGTTATTATCTCGGTGAAGATACGCAAAGTGAAGAAGAAACAGAAGAAGAGAAATAATAATTATATTTTTGTGATTTTAAACTGTTTATTTAATTCAATAGAATAGTCATTATATTTTGTTCATAATATTAAACAAATCAGAATGAAAAATCAAGTCATTCTTCAATAATGTTGGTAATTAAGTTAAATTGACATGGAATATCTTTATGATGTATGAAATAAGTACTTCCGAACTGAAAAATCCCAAAGATAAGACCATAATTTAAAAAATAAATTTTACAAGATTTTTATTTGATAAATTTCTTCATGAAGTAGAAAATAGAACCAGCAACAGCAGCTGACGCTCCAACAACTGCTGCCACTGAACCTGCCTTCATCTTTAAGTTCTTCTTGATTTGTTCTTGACGCATATATTTACGGTCATTTTCATCAATTAAAACATCAGCATCAGATGGGAAGTCGTATTCAAATGAATCTTCCTCTTCTTCTTCAGGATTAACTGGATGAGGTCTTTCTCTTCTACGACGTCTTCTGCGATGCTTTTCTTCTGGCTGTTCTTCTTTGTTTTCTGTTTCTTCATTCTTTGTTTCATTAGCTGAGGTGTTGTTGACGTTGGCCAAATCTTCTTCGACTTTGCCTTCAACAACTTTTTCTTCTTCCTCAGCGTTGAAATCAATATCGCGAGATTTCGTTGATTCTGCTACGAAAATATCACTATCTTCTTCTTCATTTTGTTTCTGAAGTTCCAATTCTTTTTCTTTGATAAGTTTTTCTTCTTCTTCTCTTTGTTTTCTCATCTTTTCTTCTTCTTCAGCTTTGATTCTTTGTTCTTCTTTGATTCTTTCCTCTTCTTTCTTCCTTTCATCTTCTCGCTTCTTTTTCTCTTCTTCTTCTCTCTTTCGCTTTTCTTCTTCCCTCTTTCTCTTTTCTTCCTCTTCTCTCTTCTTTTGTTCCATCTGCTTCTTTGCCATAGCAGCTTTGACGTCTTCGTTCTTTCTTCTTTCTGCTTCTTTCATGATTCGATCTTCTTCTTGTTTAAGAAGATCATCAATCATCTTGATTTGTTCATCACGATAATTTTCGATTGATTCAATTTTATCATCTCTAGATTTGCAGATTTCTTCTTCTTCAGCCATTCTGATTTTGTCGAGTTTTTCTCTTTGTGATCTGATTTGCTTTTGATAGTCCATAGCAATCAGTTCATTAAGAGCTCCATTAACTGCAGATGCAACTGCAAATTTGGCAAGAACATTGACTGGATCATCATGAGAGTTAATTCTTGGTTCAACAGTGACATCAGGCAAATTACGACGAATTTCCATATCTGCTTCGCGAAGATTCTTAATTTCTCTTTCTCTGCAAGCTGCGAGGTTTTCTTCAGCCTGGATAGTTACAAGAGAAGATTGTGCAAGTGAATCTGCAATGATTTCTGCCATCTTTTCATGTGCACAGTTATTGATTGCGTCTTTAGCTTCTTGAAGAACTGTATCAATGTCAGCAAGTCCTGAATTAGATAAGACAGCTTTAATTAAGACTGGTGACATCGATTTGCAAGCATCAGATGTAAATCTTTCATCATTTTTATCAACTTTTCCTAAGATAACAAGCGCCCCGGCGGAGGATACTTCTGTTGCAGCTGTTGCAACTTCTTCAGGAGAGGCCATTCTCTCGATGCATGATTCGAGAGAGACCTTCTTGAAGTCGTCTTTCAACTGCTTGATTGTAGTATCCTCTGTCTGTTTGTCTCTTTCCAATGAGACTCTGTTAAGACCGAAGGAGATCAACCTACTGGCACGCTTCGGGTGCCTAGAGGCGTTGAAGATCTCCTCCCGTGGCAATTCACGGAGGCGCTCAAAATCTTTTTTTGTATCCAAAATTGCAGGCAATGCTGATAAAACGGCGTTCTTCGCAACAGCAAGAGCGAATTCATGGTTCTTATTAAGTCCTTCTTCGAACATTGATAAGTCCATATTCGCTTCAAACGCGTCTGATCCTTCTTCAAGTGGTTTTGATTCTCCACTGACAGCTGTGAAGACATTTTCGGCAATGTCTCTTATTGATAACCTTGTTTCATGAGTTATTACATCATTTAGAGCGTTGACGTAATAATTGTTGTCCTTTGAATCATAATTCTCTAACAATTTTTGAGGATCGTCTAATACACACTTAAGAGGTGCACCATTGACATCTTCTGTTACCATTTGCTCTGTATCTCCTTCCACTTCGTTTGTAATGATACTGTTTGCGTCTCTGACAGCAAATAGCATCAATTCTCTAACAGCTGCAGCAACAGCGTTTTTATCTTCTTCTTTTTCGACACCATCAGATAATTCATTGATGATGTCTTTAGAAGCATCGATTGTCTTGTTGACCAAAGATTGGAACGAGTTGGAAAGAATTGACTTGCAATTGCTCATCAAGTTTGGTAAACATCCTTCCAATGTTTGTGAAAGAGCTCCGAAAATTGCTTCGTTCTCTTCTTCTTGCATTTTATCAAGGATATCTTCAACCATATCATCAATAACTTTCTTTGCCATTCCTGATAATAAATCAAGTGTTTCTTTTTCTTCTTTCTCTTTGAGTTCTCTTTCTCTCTTTTCTTTTTCTTCTTGGAGCTTCTTTTCTTCCTCTAATCCCTCTTTCTCCAATCTTTCTTCTTCTAATTTCTTTTCTCTTTCTAATCTTTCTTCTTCAAGTTTTCTTTCTCTCTCTAATCTCTCTTGTTCTAATTGTCTCTCTTTTTCTAATCTTTCTTCTTCTAATTGCTTTTCTTTTTCTAATCTTTCTTCTTCCAATTTTCTCTCATTTTCTAATCTTTCTTTCTCTAACTTTTCTCTTTCTTCAATATCTTCAACTTGTGGACCAATTTGTGAATCGTAAACATGAGATGCAATTCCATCTGCAAGTTTTTCGACTTTCTCATCTGATGGTTTTTCATTTCCTTCGTTGATTTCTTTGATTTGGCCAACTAATTCTTGTGGAACTTCAAGTTGATCATTGATAAATTCATTCAAGTCATCATGGTCGATTTCTCTTGAACGAATTTCTGGATCTTCCTCTTCCTTGCTATTGTAGTAATCTTCGATCTTCTTTGCAAGAAGTTCAGAAGCAGCTTGAGAAATCTTATCTGGATCTTTTCCAGATTTGATATCTTCTTGAAGTTGAGAGAGAAGTTCTTTGACAAGATCTTTAGCGTTTTCTTTGATCTTTTCTTCCTCTTCTGAAGTGAATTCGTGGTTTGGATCTGATTCCAAGATCTTTTGTTTCTGAAGCTCTGCAAGAATTTCTGCTGCTTTTTCGGATGATTCTTCTGCAAGCTTGGCAAATAATGGATCGTCTTTTGCAAGTCCTGCCATTGCAGCAAGTGAAAGTTCTTTGATGACTTTCTCTGAATCATCATCTCTGAATGAATCAAGAATCTTTCTGATGATTTCGTCAATTGCATCCTTAGCAACTTTAGAGAGAGCTTCTTGTGTCTGAAGTGCTTCCATTTCAGCAGATAATTGATTGTTGAATAATCTGTTTGCAATATCATTAGCAACAGCTGCAACTTTCTCATCAATTTGGTTAGTATCTGGCTGTTCTTCTTCAGTTTGCTGTGGCTGCTCTTCATCATTCTTTGCAAACTTCTCAAGATTGTCTTTAGCAAGATCATGAACAGCTTCAATAACTTCATCTGGAATTGCTTGAATTTGTTGTTTATGAATAGCTTCTGCAAGTGCAGCTTCTTCAGAACTAAGTGGTGTTTCTTCGGAATCAAGATTGACTGATCTCGAAACAACAAAGTCGGTGAGTTCATCAATGTCAATTGGTAATTGTGCGTCTGAATTTACTTGTGATTTAGTGGATGGTTGTTTATTCTTTTCGGACTCTAAGAAGTTCTTGATTTGTTTGGATAGAAGACCATGCGCAGCTTCTGATGCTTTAGATGGATCATCATCTTTGTCGGTACTAGCTTTCTCAAGTTCTTCAACTGACTTTTGAACAAGATTGTCAACAAGAGATTTGGATGATTCTTCGATTTGTTTGATTTCTTCGGAATTGAGTTCTTTGTTTGGATTATCTTCTTTCAACTGCAATTTCTGAAGGGATGCAAGTGTATCAGCTGCACGTGATGCGGATGAGTCGGCAACTTCATTGATATGTGGATGATGTTGAATCTCATCTTCATCTTCTGGATTATGTTTGAGAGCAAGTTGTGCCATTGCACTAACTGATACCTGTTGAATGATCTTCTCAGCATCTTCATCCTTCATTTCATCTAAGATGTTCTTAATAATTCTGTCAATTTCATCTTTGGCAATCTTGGAAAGTGCTTCTTGAGTATGAAGAGCTTCCAATTCTGGGAATATTCCTGTAAGAACACGATTAGCAATATCACTGACAACTTCTTCAACTTTCTCGTTTCCTCCTTTGGATTCTGGTTGCTCTTCTGATGTTTGCTCAGTTTCTAGTTTACTTTCTTCATCTTTAGAAACAAACTGCTGAAGATTCTGAGAAGCAAGTTCGTGAACTGCTTCAATAACTGTCTCAGGAATTGTGGACTTCTGCTGGGTCTGGAGTTTCTCCGCCAAAGCTGCTTCTTCGCTGCTAAGTGGAGTTTCATCATTTCCAATTTCTGCAGAACGAGATACAACAAATTCTGTTAAATCTTGTGGTTCTTGAACTTCAAAGAAATTCTTAATTTGCTTGGAAAGAAGACCATGAGCAGCCTCTGCGGCTTTAGCTGGATCTTCTTTTTGTTCTGCACTTGCATTTTCGAGTTGTTCGACTGACTTTTGAACAAGATTATCAACAAGAGATTTAGATGATTCTTCAATTTGTTTGATTTCTTCGGAATTGAGTTCTTTGTTTGGATTGTCTTCTTGACGTTGTAATTTCTGAAGTGATGCAAGTGTATCAGCTGCACGTGATGCGGATGAGTCGGCAACTTCATTGATATGTGGATGATGTTGAATCTCATCTTCATCTTCTGGATTATGTTTGAGAGCAAGTTGTGCCATTGCACTCACTGATACCTCCTTGATAATTCTTTCAGCATCCTCATCTTTCATGTTATCCAATATGTTCTTGATCATGGCATCAATTGCATCTTTAGCAATCTTCGATAGCATTTCTTGTGTCTGAAGAGCTTCCATCTCTGCTGTTAAGCCATTGAATATCCTATTTGCAATATCACTTGCAACTTGCGAAACTTTTTCGTCAACTTCTTCTGAGGATTGTTTGTCAGAAGGAACTTCTTCAGAAGACTGTTCAGATTCTGGTTGTGAGTTTTCTTTAGCTTGTGATTGTTGAATGAATTGTTCAAGATTTTGAGAAGCAAGTTCTTGAACAGCATCAATGAAATCATCTGGAATAACCATCTTCTTCTGAAGAGCAAGCTTTTCTGCAAGAGCTGCTTCTTCTGCACTGAGTGGTGTTTCTTCATTAGAAACATCAACTGATCTTGAAAGAACAAAGTCTGTGAGATCTTCAATATTAACTGCTGGTTCTGGTTGTGTTGATTCGGTCGATGGTTGTGTTGTTGTCTTTGCAGATGATGGAGTTGGTTTTTCTTGTTCAAGGAAGTTCTTGATCTGTTTAGAAAGAAGACTGTGGGCAGCTTCCGCTGCTTTCTCGGGACTCTCGTCTTTATCAGTACTTGCTTGTTCAAGAGCTTCAACGGATTTACTAACAAGATTGTTGACAAGTGCTTTACTTGATTCTTCAATCTGTTTCTCTTCACTTTCGTTAAGTTGACGAGATGGATCATCTTCTTGAAGTTGTAACTTCTGAAGTGATGCTAATGTGGATGCAGCACGAGATGCTGATGAATCGGCAACATCGTTAATATGTTTGTGATGTTCTTCTTCATCTGAATCAACTGGGTTATGCTTAAGTGCCAAATCTGCAATTGCACTTGCTGAAACCTGTTGAATGATGTTTTCTGCATCTTCATCTTTCATGTTGGCGAGGATGTTCTTGATGATTTTATCAAGTGCTTCTTTGGCAACATTGGAAAGTGCTTCGTGGATTTGAAGAGCTTTGATATCTGGGAATAAACCACAAAGAACACGATTAGCAATGTCATTGACAACAGCTTCAACTTTCTTTTCGTCGGATGAAACTCTGTCTGGGACAGATTCACTTTCAATTGGTGTTTCTGATTCTCCTTCATTAGCTGATTTACTTTCTTCTCCTTCAATATCTGGTTTATTGTTATTATCATCCTTGTGATTGTGTGAGAATTGTTCAAGATTATATGAGGCAAGATCTTGAATGGCTTCAACAACTTCACGTGGAACAGTCTGTGTCTGTTGTTGCTGAATAGCGTTGGAAAGTGTTTCTTCTTCTTGGGACATAGACAATGAACTTGATTTAAGTTCTGAACTCTGTGAAACAACAAATGTGGTGAGATCATCAATGTTGATTGGTTCGGATGGTTCTTCATTTTGTTTGGTTTCTGTATCTGGTTGAGTAATCTTTTCTTGTTCTAAGAATTGTTTGATTTGTTTGGAAAGAAGACCATGTGCAGCTTCTGATGCTTTGCTTGGATCATCGGATTTCTCAAGGCTGGCATGTTCAAGTTGGACAACTGATTTATTGATGAGATTGTCAACAAGTGATTTGGATGATTCTTCGATTTGTTTGATTTCTTCGGAATTGAGTTCTTTGTTTGGATTATCTTCTTTCAACTGCAATTTCTGAAGTGAGGCAAGTGTATCGGCTGCACGTGATGCGGATGAGTCGGCAACTTCATTGATGTGTGGATGATGTTGAATCTCATCTTCATCTTCTGGATTATGTTTCAATGCAAGTTGTGCCATTGCACTAACTGAAATTTCTTTGATGATATTCTCGGCATCATCATCTTTAAATCCATTCATGATATTCTTGATCATACCATCGATTGCATCTTTTGCAATCTTTGATAACATTTCTTGTGTCTGAATAGCTTCCATCTCAGCTGTGAGTCCATTGAATATGCAATTAGCAATATCACTTGCAAATTGTGAAACTTTTTCATCAACATTTGGTTGGGTTGATTGTTCTTCAGTGGATGAAAGTTCATTTGTGATTGCAGATGCTTGTTCATTAGAATCTGAACTTTCTGCAGCTTGTGATTGATGAATGAATTGTTCAAGATTTTGAGAGGCAAGTTCTTGAACAGCATCAATGAAATCATCTGGAATAACCATTTTCTTCTGAAGAGCAAGCTTTTCTGCGAGTGCTGCTTCTTCCGCACTAAGTGGTGTTTCTTCATTAGAAACATCAACTGATCTTGAGAGAACAAAGTCTGTGAGATCTGAAACATCAATTGGTTTAAGGTCATAATTATCATGATTACCTGTTTCATCATTATTTTCATTGTTAACATCTGATGACTTTGGCTGATTTAAGAAGTTCTTGATTTGTCTAGACAGAATGCCATGAGCGGCTTCTGATGCTTTCTCTGGACTTTCTTCTTTGTCGGTACTGGCTTTCTCAAGCTCTTCAACCGATTTATTGACAAGATTGTTAACAAGTTCTTTAGATGATTGTTCAATTTGTTTCTCTTCCGCTTCATTAAGAACTTTGCCTGGTTTATCTTCCTTAAGTTGAAGTTTCTGAAGTGATGCTAATGTATCAGCAGCACGTAATGCGGTTGTTGTTGCAACATCATTGATATGTGGTTGATATTTTCCTTGTTCGACATTAACTGGATTATGTTTCAATGCTAATTGAGCCATTGCACTGGCTGAGACTTGTTGAATAATGTTTTCGGCATCCTCATCTTTCATATTGTCTATGATGTTCTTAACAATTCTGTCAATTGCATCTTTGGCAATTTTAGATACATTTCATGGGTCTGGATAGCTTCCATTTCTCCTGTGAGACCATTGAAGATTCTGTTTGCAATGTCACTTGCAACTTGGGAAACTTTTTCATCAACTTGAGGAGTTGAGGTTGTTTTTATCAAGTTCATTGGGAGTTTCATCACTAGATTTTTCTGCTTCTGTTTCTGATTGTTGAATGAATTGTTCAAGATTTTGAGAAGCAAGTTCTTGAACAGCATCAATGACATCATCCGGAATAACCATCTTCTTCTGAAGAGCAAGCTTTTCCGCAAGTGCTGCTTCTTCTGCACTGAGTGGTGTTTCTTCATTAGAAACATCAACTGATCTTGAAAGAACAAAGTCTGTGAGATCGTCCGATTGCTTTTCTTGTCCGATAGTGGTTGATTCATTTTCATCATTTGAATTTGATGGTTTCGGTCGTTCTAAGAAGTTCTTGATTTGTCTAGAGAGAATGCCATGTGCAGCCTCTGCGGCTTTGGTTGGATCTTCTTCTTTGTCGGTACTGGCTTTCTCAAGTTCTTCAACAGACTTGTTCACCAGGTTGTTAACAAGTGCTTTGGAGGATTCATCAATCTGTTGAAGTTCATCGTCATTAAGAACTTTGTCTGGTTTGTCTTCCTTAAGTTGTAACTTTTGAAGTGAGGCAAGTGTATCAGCAGCACGTAAGGCGGTTG